CATTCCTCACCTCCACTCCTCTTTTCCCGCCCCCGCCTCCTTAAATCCCTTCGAATCCTCCCTTACTCCTCCTCCTTTCCGAAGATCCTCCGCCTCCTCCTCATCCTCCCCTCATATCCTGCCTCTCTCCCCTCCATGCAATCGACTCCCTCCTCCCCTCCCTCCTCGCCTCATCCTCCTCCCTCCCCCTCCTCCCTCTCTCGCCTTCCCCCCTCCTTCCAAGCCTCTCCCTCATCCTCCTACTCCTCGCCTATCATCCTCCTACCCCTAGCCTCCGCTACGCCCTACCCTCCTCCTACTATACTCCTCTATCCTCCCCGCCTCCTCCTCCTCCTCGCTTCCTCCTCCCTCCGCCCCGCTCCTATCCCAATATATCTCCTTTACCTCCTCCTCCTCCTCCCCTCCTCCTCCATCTCCTCCTCCTCCTCCTCCTCCTCCTCCTCTCCTCTCCTCCTCCTCCTCCCTCGAGTTCGCCTGGGGGGAAACCGTACATCCCCCCCCTTCCACCCCTGCTTCGCCCCCCCCCTATCCCGCGACCCCTCCCGCCCCCCCCCGACCACCGACACCCACAGAGCCCGACAGGGAGGCGGCGAGGGCTCTTCGACTGAGGCGACGTCGCGCGGAGGCCGACGTCCGAGCCATCCCAGTCTCTCTGTCAGGTGCGTTCCCGGGCAGCCCTCGCGGGGAGAGGGCTGGGCTGCTGGGCAGTTTCGGGGAGCGGGCATTCCGTTCGATTTGCCACTAGTTGTTTTCTTTGCCCTCGTGTTTTTTACATTCGAAAAGGCGCGAGACCTCTGTTGTCCTGACTTTTGCTGCGTCGCCGTTCGGCGACGACGACTTCCCTCCTCGTCCCGCTCTCCTCCGCCCCTTGCCTTGCGAAAGAGGCTTGGCGAAACTGTCGAGGTTGTGGGTGGTCGGCCTCTGTTTATTAGCCGGGATGTCGTGGGAGTCCAGCACGAGTAGGGGGCGGATTGCATCAGCTCATGCCTCGCTAACGGAAGCGAAGCAATGGACATTCCCAGGTTTGGGGCCAATTCGCGCCACGCCTCTCCGCCAATGGGGGCGAGGAGATCTTAACCCCCTGGCGCGAGACCCACTGGCGGGGCGGCGCTCCGCTAATTGGGGCCAGGCGATCGAAATCTCTTGGTTTGAAGGCAACCAGCTGAGCGCCGTTCCGCAGACGTGGACGCGGGAATACCCAGGAGCTTACCTTTTTTTATAGAACCTCCAGATTTAGCGCGGACTTGAAGATACTCGAAGTTGTGCCTCAAGAGTACGCTTGCGGACATACATAAGTTTTTGTCCGCCGATGTTTTGCGATCTAGGACCCCGCGAACCCCTTCCCCTCACCCTAAGCGGGACCCACCCAGTCCTTGGCCCCAGGGGCTCTCTGGACACCCCTGCAGGAGGTCCCCCCGATCTCTTGGGAGCTCCTGGACGCCCGTGCTGGGCCCAGGACGCGGGCCCAGACATGTCTGGAGGAAGGGCCCAAGAAGCCCCAAACACCCACCGACCGCCCGAAGACGACCCAGAGACCACACCCAAACGGTTTTCCGAAATGGAGAAATCGGACAGAAGATTTTTCGTATGATTTTGGGAATGCTCTCTTCTTCGGCCTTCAGGCATCCGAGACCGTCCACAAAGCCCGAACAGCACGCCACAAATATCCGAAAGGACTTCCAGGCAGTCCAAGATACCCCCAAAACGGCCCAACAGGGCCCCAATATTGACCGAAGATAACCCCATGACAGCTCCTGACACCCACCAGACGCCCGAAGACGACGAAAACAAGTGGCACGCGTGCCCTGGCTCTTGCACAAAGGTGTCCGAGGCTCAGGGGGGCTGCCCTGGGAAGCCTGGGCGGGGGGGGGCAGAGGGGGGGGGCAGGGGGACGAACGACACGACACGACACGACACGGAAATAAAAGTGGCCCAGGGGGGCTACCCTGGGAAGCGTGGACAGGGGGGGGGGGGGCGAGGGACGAACGACACGACGAACGACGAAAATAAAGGGTTCCGTGGCCCAGGGGGGCTACCGGGAAGCGTGGACAGGGGGGGGGCGAGGGGACGAACGACACGACGGAACGGAAAATAAGGGCTCGTGGCCCAGGGGGCTACCCTGGGAAGCGTGGACAGGGGGGGGGGCGAGGGGTACCCTGGGAAGCGTGGACAGGGGGGGGGCGAGGGGGACGGGGGGGGCGAGGGGGGCGAACGACACGACGAACGACGAAAATAAAGGGTTCCGTGGCCCAGGGGGGCTACCCTGGGAAGCGTGGACAGGGGGGGGGGCGAGGGGGCGGGGGGGGCGACGAACGACACGACGAACGACGAAAATAAAGGGTTCCGTGGCCCAGGGGGGCTACCCTGGGAAGCGTGGACAGGGGGGGGGGCGAGGGGTACCCTGGGAAGCGTGGACAGGGGGGGGGGCGAGGGGGACGGGGGGGGCGAGGGGGACGAACGACACGACGAACGACGAAAATAAAGGGTTCCGTGGCCCAGGGGGGCTACCCTGGGAAGCGTGGACAGGGGGAGGCGAGGGGGACGAACGACACGACGAACGACGAAAATAAAGATGTCCGAGCTCTAGAGCACAGCTGTGCAAGAGAATAATACCCTCAAGAGGCTTCCAAACTGAAGAGAAATATTGACTTCCCATTGTTTTTGCATGACTTGAGGAATGCCCTGTTCTTTCGTCTCCTGGGCGTCCGAGACCGAGGGCTTCCAGACAGTCCAGAGAGCCCCAAGACGGCACAACAGGGTTCCAAGATGGCCTAAGGGAGCCCCATGTCGGCCCAAGATGGCCCCAAGAGTCCCACCGAAGCATTCCAAATCGCGACCCGGTCTTTAACGGAGACCGCGGTTGGAGGCAGGGTGGCCCGAGGAAGCTCCCAGAGGCCCACAGAAGACGCCCAGGACGCCTCCAGAAGGCTTTAAGAAAGCCTGAAAATCTTCCGTGTGGCCCCCGGAGACTCTCCAAGGAGGAGCCTCCGCAAAAAGAGCAGACGAGGATGGGGAGGAATTCGCAAGGTAGGGCGATTATGATGACGAAGAAACATGGAGGAATGATAATGAATGACATGATCATATGCCGGAAAAGGCAACAAGGAGTTATCGCCAATTTGTTTGTTGGATTTTCCCGTAATTCCGCCTGCATGCCAAATTTCAAGGACCAAGGTGCATGGTGCGAAGCGCCAGTGTATATTTCTTGTGCGTGCACACTTATGCTGACGTGAGAAGACGCCACACGGTACTGCAAATAACGTCACCTGCAAGATGATCCAAAGGCTTTTTGAGCTGTGACAGTGCCATATGTTTACAGAGTGGTTTTCCTTTTGGAAAAAGCTCAGGGGGGAAATTCCGTATATAACATTCGTTTTGTACGGACTTTCCCCCTCCAGTTTTTCCAGCGTTGTTTGTGCGTCTTCTCGCACCATTGTAATGAACGCAATGGCACTTCAATGTAACAGCTTAGAAATAGTTTGCATCACTTGATTATGCCGTCTGTGCGCCTTCCTCTTCCGTACCCGTTAGGGCTCGAATTTTTCTAGGCAGAGTTGGGGTCCGTGCGAGGCCGCTCTTGGGCACCACCAGCAGCTGGCGCTGGTGGCTGCGCCTGGCTGGGCGGCCCTGGGCTGGTATTTCCTCGAGCAGGCGTTGCCCAGCGCGAGGTCAGCGGCTGCTGCGTGGGCCGCGGGCGGGAAGAGCTGCCCTGCCTGCAATATCACTTGCCCGTCTTGCCCTGCGTGCGTGCCGGCCCCTTGCTCGTGCCCGGCCTGTCCGGCGTGCGGGCCAACGCCGCCCTGCGCGGCGTGCCCCGGGTGCGAGAAGCCTCCGCCGTGCCCGCCTTGCCCGGGGTGCCCAGAGGCGCCCCCAGCGTGGGCCTTCGCGCTGGGCCTCCTCGGCACGGTGGTCCTCCACCTTGCCGTCCGCTTCAACGGGTGCCTGCGGGACGGGTGCCGTCGCCGCGGGCGGGGGCGCGCCGAGGCGGTGGCTGGCGCGCGCGAGCAGGCCGATGTGGTCGCCAGGGCCCGTGAGCAGGCCGAGAGGGCCCGGCAGCGGGCCGCGTTCCAGTTCAGTTCGGCGTGCCTCGCGTCGACCCTCTCGTCGGAGTGATGGCGGCGCCCGGAGACTACATCCTGCTGGTCTACAGCGAGCCTGAGCAGCCCCTCTATCATGAGGCTTCGGTGACAGGAGTCTCGGTTGCGACGCCGACGACGATCACGATGGCGACGCCAGACGGGGACCACTACCCCCAGAGCGTCGAGATCGGCGACGACGTGCTCGAGGTGAGATGGATCGGCATGCAGGGGGCGACCCCGCCAGGAGTCGATGCTCGCCGCATGCATCGATTCCAGCAGGTGCCATCGGCACAGGTGCTGCAGCAGTACTTCAGGGACGCGGCGCTGATGCTCGGCAACGTCGCGCCGCCGCCGGCTTTGCAGCAGAGGCAGGGGCCAGCCCCAGGCGCGGAGTTGCGGCGGCTCCCCGAGCCGCCCCCGCGGGAGCGGCGGCAGCGCCGCCAGGCCGCCTCTGGGTGTACGCCGAGGATTGCGAGGGCCATCGGCGAGGCGATGCAGTCGGGGCGCTGCCAGCCGACGCAGTGACGATGGGAAAATACGGGCTCGCGCTGCTCCAAGAGGGCACCGCCCTCATGCAGATAGTCGAGCGGCGCAATGTGGAGCCGTATGTCATGGAGGACTTCCGCGCACTGCCAGCGAAGTTCGACGGCGCTGGTCAACGTCGTCGCCCATTCGCCGAGTCCGTCCAGAAGGTGGCGGGAGAGGAGCTGGATGGAGGGTGGGCTCGATATGACCGGGCCGAGGATGCGCTTCAACCGTTTGCAGCAGCTCGCCGCGGCCAGCCAGACGCCGATCACGCAGAGCGAGCACTGGCGGCGCGCGGCTCGGATTCCGGACGGGGACCGCAGCCAGTGCGAGCACGGGGCGCTCCCCCACATCATGGAGGCGATGTGCATGGTCGACCAGTTGAACGCGCCGGCGATGAAGTCGGCGGAGTTGGTCAGCCGGCGTCTCCAGCTGATTGAGGACGCGCACGCCTGCGGCGGCATCGCTGACTACAGCGCGGCGGACCACTACATGGGCTGGTCGACCAGGCGGTCAGGGGCCGTCTCGGACGCAGGTCTGCGGAGCCACGTGGCCGAGCAGGTTCGCGGGGGGGCAGCCGTGGCCAAGGAGATGAGGAAGGCCAAGGAGGAGCAGCGCCTGCGCAAGCAGAACCCAAACAAAAAATAAAAACGACGACACCGGAAATGGCCAAGTCCATGGCTGGCCTCGGGGGCGGGAGAGCGCCGACCCGCCCCGACAAGCAGGCGCTGCATCAGAATCCATTCCCGAGTCATGTGGGGGCTCATCACGATGGGCGACGACATCGGCCTCGGGAATTTTTCCCCCTCCACCTGCGCCAGCGGGGCCATCCGCCCGGGCGCGCCTGCTTACCTTCATCGGCGACTACTGCGACGTGGGGGTGTCTGGAGACGGCAACTGAAGTCCTCGAAGTTTTGAATGAGATGGCCGGCGCGGCCCCTGGGGCTTTGGCCACGGCCAGTCCGAGTCTCGCCCAGCTTGCGTCTCAGGGCTCCGCCCTCCGGAGGGGGGGGCGGCCTCCATGCGTCGAAGTTTGCGCAGCAGGCACGGGGCCTTCAATGTGCTCATGTCCACTGTGATCGACTACGCGGGAGTCGATCAAGCTACTGCCGTCAGACCCCACCATCGCTCTCTGGTATCCATGCCCGTAGCTGGTGCGCCCCCAGTGCCGCTCAGTGCCTCGTGCGGGATGCCAGAGAGGACTTTGTTGGAGCGGTCGGATGAGCGCATGCTGTCCGACCCAGATGACGTCGGGTTGCAGATGGAGCCAGGTACGTCTCAACAGCTCTACATGGACGAGGTGCTGCGCAAAGATCGGTCAGCTTACGTCGGCTTCATCGCAGACGTCCTATACGGGCTGGGCCGGTGCACTTCTCTGTCACCCCAAAGGAGATATGCGCGCCATTCTTCGTCGAGAAGAAGAACGAGAATCTCTGGCTCATCCTGGATTGCAGGTGGTCGAACTTGCACTCCCGTCCAGCGCCCAGCCTCTCGGCGGGGGCGGGCGCGGACAGGGCCCGCGTCGAGCGGCCCGCTGGCGACCATGACATATACCTCGCAGGGGCCGACGTCGAGGATTATTTCGGCGGCCTCGAGAACTCCGCCGAGCTCAAGGATTACTTCTGCTGCCCCATCCCTGACCTCGGAAGAGTTTGGAAGGGGCTTTGCAGATTGGCCCTGGGCCGAGGAGCTGCTGTCAATGGCGCGCCGCTCCGGCCTTCGAGAAGCGCGGCCGAGGGCTGTCACAGGTGGTCCTGGGCTTTCTTCCTGGGGCAGAAGGCGTTGGATAACCAGATTTTGGTGGCCCTCGAGGGGCGGCCCCGCGGACAGCTCCGCGAAACCGGGCCGCTCCCTGACGTCCCGGGCGGGGTGAGCGTTCTGCCGCACTGCGACAACCTCAACGTGTACGGCGTAAGCCGCGAGAAGGTGCAGCAGGCCAAGACTTTGGTAGTGGCCCAGCTTCGCCACGTCGGCTTCAGGGTTCACGAGGAGACCGACGCTTCGACCGACCACGAGAGCCTGGGCTGGAAGCTGCACGGCGCCCGCCGGCTGGCCATGAACAAGCCAGAGCTGGCGGCTCGCCTGCAGCGGGCGGGCGGGCACCTAGAAGGCTGCCGTCGAGTGACTGGTCACACGGTCAGGCGGTGGCTCGGCCGCGCCGTGGATCCCTTCGCCATTATGCGGGAAGGGTCGTCGCGCCTCAGGAGCTGCTGCGGCTTCGTGGAGAAGGTCGGCGGGCAGTGGGCCGAGCCCTGGGCCTCTGTCAGGGAGGAGGCGAGGTGGGTGAGCGTGCTTACTTACCCCTGCGCGGCCGAGCTGTTCCGCGAATGGCGCCCTGAGTTCCTTTCGCTGGCGCCTGCGAGAGCGGGATTGGTGTTGCTAGTCGCGCAATTCCTCATTGGTCCGAAAGATACCCGTGCCCGGGGCCAGCCAAGGTGGGATGGGCCGTCCGGGGGACTGGGCGCTCGCTATTGTGCCCGTCAGCTTGCCCTGCGCGCGCCAGTGCAGCAGCCGCGCGTCAAGACGCAACGGCGCGCTCGATGGTTGGGTGTTTGATTGCAGCGACAAGCGCTGGTTTATGTTAGGGACGTCTCGGGGCATCGTGGCGCGTGCGCGGCTCAAAGCCGTGCATATGTGGCGGCGCCTGTCCCAATCGATAAAGAGTTGCATTTCCTCGCTATCCTGGCAGACAATTCGTCTGGGCCTGCGCTGAGGAACGACGTTGCAATGTCGCGCCCCCAGGGGGCCGCAGCGGCCACGTCGGGGACTGCTCTGGAGGGCGTGATATGTGCTCGAGAGCTTTTTGGGCCTGCCGCCACCTCGGCTAGGAACGGGGACCTGCCTGAAACCACCGAAACATACCCGGACCTAGCTGGGGTGGAGCTGCGGCGCCCCGGCTAGGTACGGGTATGTTCTTTGGTTTTCATGGGGCAACTGCACTTAGCTTGGGCGATCCGCAGACGGCCGTCCAAGGGGGGCGGCCTCTGGCGACGTCGCCCAGGGCACAGATTCGCGATGTCTCTGCATCGAGCAATTCGCGATAGGGCGGTTGTCGCGCAATGACGATCGCGCCAGAGTTGTTCGCATGCGTCCCCGAGTGCGCGTTGACTCCTCAACGCCCGGATGTGTGTCTGGGGGCGCGCCTCCGCAGTATATGTTCTACATCGACAACAACCAACGCAGGGTCGGGCACTCCGCCGATTTGAACGCACGTGCGATCGGTGCTAACGCGCGCCCCGAGGTGACAGCGGTCTGTAATGCTCGATCGGCTGTCGCTTCTACTCTTGCGCAGCCGCCGTCAGCTGCGACGGTGCGCCCCCCCGGCCCCTTGCCACCCTGTCTAGGTAAGGGTGCGGGTACGGTTCGCGCTCGAATACTCCAGCGCAGGAAGTCGCAAAGGTCGGATGCATATCGGAGCGTTGGAGATATCGGGGGAAGCATCCTCATCAGTCTCGTCGCAGTGCCATGGGGCCACGGGGCCCTGTCAGAGACCTCGACACCGTGATCCCCGTGGGCCCAGGGGGCGAGTTGGAGATGTTCGAGGGGAACCATAAATTCCAGAAGGTGCCGGAATACATCTGACCAATCCAAGCGGCACGTCATTTTGTCGACGAGGCTTCATCGGGAGGAGGGGGCGCCGACGAAGGAGGGCCGGGCCGCGCTGCTGGGGGCGAGGTGCAAATTTCGCCATCCGGGGGTTTTTGGAAAACGGCATCTTCTTCTCGGAGGCCAGCTGGGGAACGCAATGGCTTTCGAGAGATCCAGGACTCGCAGCCATGCGATCTTCACCCTTGTTCGTCGAGACTCCGCCGTCGCCGTCACCGCTGGCTCGAGCTGGCACTTCCGGCTGGTCCGTCCGAGAAGAGCGCGGCAGATGCACCGCCACGGCGATGGGAGAGAACAGCGCCGGCTCCGGCCTGCCGAGGGCGCCGCCCCGCCTGGCGCCAGCAGCGGGAGCCGCCCGGCCTTGGCGCTAACGCGGCGCAACCAGGGCGCGGGCCCCGCGGTCCACAGGGGCCTCCGCAGGGCGCAGCCGCCAGCGCGGCCAGCAAGCCAGGTGGCCACGAGGCTGGCGACCCCGCCGCCCCGCGGAACAGCCCGCCCTTTGGTCTCGGGAGAGACCCGTGAGGACCGACGCGAGAAGCGTGCGCCAGCATCGCCCCCGTTCCAACCGAGAGACCCGCGACCAGCTTTCCATGTTGGGGTCGCGCGCTGTCACGGAGCTGACGTTGGCGCTCTACGAGAGTTGGTGGAAGGATCTAGGACTTCGTGCAGTCGATGGGGGCGTGCACGCTGGACACCGTGCAGAATGCAGACTCTGCCATGGTGGACTTCGCGGAGTTCTTGTTCATGGAGGGGTTCGAGGTCGCGGACATTTGGAAGGCGTGCGCGGCGGTCGTGCGGCACCATGTCGACCTCTCGCCATGGGGCCGGCTCTGGCCCCCAAGGTTCGCGCGGGCCATGAGGGGGGCGCGTCATCTCGACCCCGGCGTGGCGACCCCCCCCAGTGTCTTGGGAAGTGGTCTGCGGACTGGCGATCTACGTGCACGAGGCCCTGGGCAGCAAGATCGCGCGCTTCGCCTGGATCACGATGTTCACCGGCTACTTCCGGCCAGCAGACCTTCATGCGCCGCGGGGCGAGGATTTGGCGGCCCGCGCGGGGTCCAGCCAGTGGCGGGCCCTCGAACTGCACCCGGCTGGGCGAGGCGACGAGTCGAAGGTCGGCTTGAGCGACGAGAGCTTGTTGCTGGACGCGCCGCGCCGCCCAGGCGCAGGCGCGGCGTTGGCCGCGCTGGCGAAGGACCGCGAGGGCGAGAAGCTTTTCGACATCCCGCCGGCGGAGCTGCCGAGGCTGTGGAACCTCTCCCTCGTCGGCGTCGGGCCCCCCGCCTGGCAGGAGCGCGCGCAGTGCCGGCTGCGCCGCGGCGGACCCAGCGACGACCGCCTTACGAAGGCCCCAGGCGTGAAGGAGGTGAGGCGGAGGGGTCGCTGGGCCAGCGCCAAGTCTGTCAAGAGATGTGAGGCCAGCGCGCGGGTGCAACAGGAGATGAAGAGGCTTCCTGCCGCTGTGCGCGCCTGCGTCGACCGGGCGGCCACTGCTTTGCCAGCGTTGGTTGAGTCGCGGGCTTCGAGGCCATCTGCGTCGACGCCTGGCTCGAGGCGCTCTCGCAGGCAGCGATAGGAGGCCGGTCGCCCCTCTTGCGGGTTTGGCGCCCCAGCAGAATCGCCGCCGACCTGTGGCCAGCAACGCTGCCCAGTACACTGCTGTTCGCGTGCGCGGAACTGCGAGCTGGACGAATCCAGCTGCCGGCCGCCGCGAAGCACGGCGGGCCGGGCCTCGGCATTCTCATCGCACGCGAATCGGTTTTCTGTTGCATCGTGACAGAGCTCTGGCGGAAAATGGGGGAGAATAATTTCTTGCGCGCTTATGCTGACGTGAGAAGACGCCACGCGGTATTGCAAATAACACCACTTGCAAGATTATCCAAAGGTTTTCTGAGCTGTGAGTGCGCCGTATGTTTTTTCAGAGCCGTTTTCTTTGGAAGAAGCTCAGGGTAATCCAGTACAAAACATTTGTTTTGTACGGAATTTTCCCCTCCACTTGTTCCAGCGCTGTTTGCGCGTCCTCTCGCACCACTGTAATGAACGCAGTGGCATTTCAATGCAACAGCTTAGAAGTAGCTTGCATCACTTGTTTCTGCAGTCTGTACGTTTTCCTCTTCCGTACTTGTTAGGGCTCGAACTTTTCTGGGCCCACCGAGGTCCTCCCTGCTTGCTGCATCCAGCGCTCCAACCAGCATTGTCGTAACATTTGGTGGGGCTCTGTGAGCTGGGCGAATCCAGCTACCGGCCGCCGCGAAGCACGGCGGGCCGGGCCTCGGCATTCTCATCGCACGCGAATCAGCTTTTCTTGCATCATGACAGAGCTCTGGCGGAACATGGTAGAGAAACACATTTATATACATGTATGTGTATATATATATATATATATATATATATATATGTGCACGCGTGCACATGCTCCCTGGTTACGGGCGGTTTTTATATATATATATGTACATGTATGCACGTGCATACCTTGGACATTCCAAATGGCAACACGCCGAACATAACTGATCGCGTGTACATATTTATATATATGTGTGCATTTGATATATGTATGTGTAAATGTACCCACACACATATACATATATACATCTACATATATACATATACATATTTTTATATATATACATATGTATATATATAAGCAGTGCCAGCACGTGTTTCTTCTGAAGTTTGATAGAACGGTGCGATCCCTTCTTTGTTCTGTAGCTGTGTGGGCTCAGCAGCAACTTCATGTCTTCTTGGTGGCCTGCTCTCACCACAGCAGGCTCCTGTCAGAGAGAGGCCCTCGAGGCCTCATTCTATTGCTTTGGCTGGACCGCGAGCCTGAACGGAGCATACACCTCAGAGGGCATCTTAGTGGTTGTCATCCTCGCTCTCGGCGCGGCGTTGCTCTTCATATCAGGGTGCTGCTGCGGAGTGGTGTCCTCCGCCTTCTTCCAGATCATCTGGCTTCAGCTGCCTGGATTCTTCGAGAAGAGGACGGCTCGTCGTGCTGCTCACGAGGCGGCGCCAGCGCTGTCATCGGTCCCAGCTCAACCTGTGCGTGTGCCGCATCAGGTTCTGAAGCCAGCCAAGCACTATGGAGCGGGGCACGAGAGTGTTCGTGAAGTACGTGGGTCATCCTATATGGCACGAAAGACTTTTACTGGAGAAGGTGGGAGATTCGGCGACTGACTGGATCATCGCCACCCCCGACAGCGATGTGTATATGGAGGACTTCAGCCGACACAACGAGGACATCGAGGGCTTCCGTCTGTCCGACCGTCGTGGCGGAGGTCCCCACGGCATCGACCCGCAGGATGTCTACCGGTTCCGCCAGGAGCCAGAGGGAGCCCACCTGCAGGGCCTTCGAGATGAGGCCAGGCTGTTGGCGCGCTCCGAGGCTGCTCGCGGTGGAGGTGCTCCCGCAGGCAATGCCGACCTATGGTATGCTATCGAGGAGGCGCCAGGCATTCAGACGGGCAGCGTCGTTCGCCTCACTGAGGAGGCAGTCATCAGCGGCGACAGGGTGATCCACTTCTATGTCCATGACGGCGTGGAGAAGAGGGTTTTCTGCGTCAGATGCCCAGCTGCTGATCTGGCCGATGTAAAGAAGAAGTTCCGCATCGAGACGGACGACGACGGCGACGCGCGGACCCTGCCCATCAAGAGCGTGGCGGGCCAGCGCAAGCGGGACTTCAGCGACGCGGTCGAGAAGATGGAGCTCGTGAGTTTCTCGGACTGGGAGACGCACATCCCAGGCCCGAGGACGACTCGCTGGTGCCTGGACTTCCTACGACGGAGGAACGGGCCGCTGGCACACCACGAGTGGTGGAAGTCCACGGCCAAGCTGAACAGCGACGACTACGGTGTCTCGTTCCACGAGGCTGTGCTGCGTGCCGTGCAAACAGGCGCGGAGTACGATCAGCTGGACCTGGTCAACTTGGCATCGATGGAGCACTTGCTGCGCTCGGCCCAGCTGATCGAGTATTAGCATCGAGAACGTACCCGACAGGAGGGTGCGGCCAGCTCCAAGACGGGAGTGGACATGGAGGAGCAGACGGTCATGCTGGGAGTCCACCAGAGCCAGGGCAACCTGATGATCGCCCCCGATCTGATCACGTACACGTCGAAGGAGCTGGAGCGGCAGAGTGCTATTGACAAGCAATCCCGCAAGGCGCGTGAGGAGCGCGCCTTGCGGCGGCGAGGATGATGATGAGCGTTGGCCAGGCTTTCCCTCGCGCCTGGCCGGCTTCGCGGGGGGGGGGCCGCGTCATTTCAGCCAGTGACGCGGCAGCGAAGGAGGCTGACTCTGCTCTTGGGCCTTCGCAGCTTCGAGGGTGCCGAGCTGTCCAGCGACGCTTCAGGAGAAGGGAGCACGTCGGTGAGAAGGTTGCTGCCCTGGGTCGTGCACTTGCGGAGCTCGAGCGAGGTGATGGCCTTCCTGAGCCGGCTGAGGGCCACGCCTCGCTTCTTTCGCCTGTTGAGCATACTTTTTTAACCTCTCGGGTGCGGCGCATGGGCCGTCCACCAGAGGGGCTTGACCCTCGGGGAGCCTTCACTGAGCTCCAGGGGGTCGAAGACTACGCTGGGATTCCGTGCCACCTGGCTCCTCTAGATGTGGACAAGCTGTCCCTCCCACAGCCTGGTTTCCAGCCGCGGCCCCTGGGCGACCTTTTGGGGGTCCGCGGCGCTGAGTTCATCAAGAGGATTTCATGTGATATAGTTTTGCCTAAGGAGCTGCAGCAAAGAAATCGTGAGGAAGCTGGTCTAGTTAGGCCGTACAGTGACCCACGTCTGCGTTCTAAAAGGGTGTACAAGTCTCTCGTGGCTCGCCTTCAGGCCGCGGGGCTCGTCGAGTTCAGTTTAACGGATGGAGTCCGAACGGGGATCTTTGCGGTTTGGAAGTCGGACGGGGTGAAGCAACGCCTCATCCTGGACGCTCGGATTTCCAATTGTAGTTTTGAGGTCCCCGAGTCGCCCGACCTCCCCACGGCTAACGCTTTCTCGAGGTTGAGGCTCCAGGGGGAAAGTTTGTTGCACACGTTTTCCTCGGATTTGAAGGATGCTTTTTATATTATGGAACTCCCCGACCCCCTTAGGAGGTATTTCACCATGGAGCCCCTCAGTGCCAAGGACTTGCAGATCTCGGAGGTGTCTGGGGTCCCAGTGGATCCTACTACTCGTGTTTACCCGCGGTTCAGGGCTGTACCTATGGGGTGGTCGCACGCTGTCAATGTCTGTCAGTGCGTCGTCACTTCGTTGATCCAGATGGCGATCCCAGATAAGCACCACTTCCTGATCACGGATCGGGAGGTCATTCCGAAGTTGGAGGAGGGGGCGGTTATACCTTACGTGGACAACATCATTACCATAAGTACCCAGGAGGAAAAGGAGAGGTCCATCCAAACAACAATCAACAACATCATGGAGGAGAGGGGTCTCATCGTTCATGATAAGAGGTTCGATCCAGAGGTTCTCGAGGCCTTGGGTTGGGAATTCCGTCGAGATGATAGGTGTATTGTGCCGAAGGGGCGCCGCGTATGGCGTCTATGGCTTGCACTCTTTCACGCACGGGAGCGCCGCCAGGGGACTGGACGTCAGCTTTCTTGGCTCGTCGGACATTTTGTCTCCATGGCGCTGGTGAAAAGAGAACCCCTTTGCTGCCTCAACGCGGTCTACGCTTTCGTGGCTAAGCACCCCGAGGACTCTGCTCCGTTCTGGCCGTCGGTCGTTAGGGAGCTCCGCTGGATCCAGTCTTTGTTACCCCTCCTCGTCCATGATCTGGCCAAGCCTTTCAGTCCCAGGGTCCTGGCATGTGACGCCTCGATGTGGGGAAAAGGGGTCGCTCACAAGTCCCTCTCCGTGGGGGCGATTCGGGACCTCTCGCAGTACTCGGAGCGCTGGCGTTATCACGGGACCTCGGGATCTGCCAGGACGGGGGCGCTGGAGGAGGCTCTCGGCGGGGCGCTGCCTTCAGGTGAGTTCTTGGAGCTGAGCTTCGCCGACGAGGGGCTCGTGCCCAACCTACCGATCTCTAGGGAAGGCGAAAGTCGTGGGCTCTTGGGAGGCTCTTGGAGGATCCTACATCGTAAGAAATGGGAGCGCCGAGAACACATCACCGCCCTGGAGTGCCGCACATTGGTTTGGTGTATTCGGCATCTGACAAAATCCGTTTCGAACAGGTCTCACAGATTCTTGATCATCAGTGACAGCATGGTCTCTATTTTAGCTCTGCTCAAGGGCCGCACCTCGGCTCCAGGCCTCGTGCGACCTGTCCGGCAATTTTGTGCAGTGGCCCTCAGAGCTGATGTTACGGCGGATCTCAGGTGGGTCGTCTCCGAGCTCAACCCAGGCGATCCTCCCTCGAGGAACAGGTCGGAGCTCGAGCCCTGGTCCAACACCCTCGACGCCCTCGCCGCCGCGTGGCAGCGTTCGCGAGATGGCAAGGACCCACATGCTCGAGAGCCCGATCCTGGTGCGAGACCCTCCCACATCCGCCGTGCGGCGCCGCCGCCCAGCGCGGAAGCGCCGGGCCGCTGCGCAGCCCAGCAGGACGGCCAGCGAGACCAGCAAGTCGCACCCCGACGCGGAGGAGCGCAAGAAGGCCAGGCGCTCCCTGCATGCCCTCGAGAGGAGGAGTCTCCAGGCCGTGGGCCGGTCCTTCCTCGAGCAGGGGAGTGTCTCTCGGGCAGTGCAGCAGCAGTACAAGGCAGCGCTCGACCGCTTCGTGAAGGATCAGAGTATCAGGGACCTCTACGCGCTGGCCCGCACGCCCAAGGCGCTGGACCAGAAGCTGAAGTGCCACCTCGACGACCTCTACTTCGAGGGGGAGCTGAGTGGCGTAGCGAACATTCTAGTGGCGACTATCCGGTGGAAGTTCCCACAGTTTGGTCGCCAGGGGGGCCAGTCCTTGCCCGAGACTGCCCGAGCGCTGCTGGGCTTCAGCAAGCTCTCTCCGGCGGCCTCTCGGCTGCCGATCCCAGCGACGGTGGTCTTCGGCCTGGCAATGGTGCTGTGCTCGCTGGGCTTCACCCTCGCCGCCTTCGGGAGCCTCCTGGCCTTCCACCTCTACCTCAGGCCGTCGGAGTTGATGCGCACGAAGTGGAGGCATTGGTCCCCGCCGTGCGGGGCAGGCCGCGGAGGGACCGACGGGTGGTGTCTGACGTTGCACCCTCGAGAGGACGGCGTCCAGTCCAAGGCAGAGGAGTTCGACGAGAACATATCGATCGACGCAGACGGCCATCTCAGTTTCCTCAATCAGGTGACGTCGGTAATGCATGCCAAGGCGAAGCGGGAGGCCCGCCTCGACGAGCTGGTGGTGGGCGACCTCGGCGGCCGCTCGTTCCTCATGGTCTTCAAGATGGCGGGCGAGCGGCTTGGTCTTCCCAAGCCGCCAGTGGCGCACCAGCTCCGCCACGCAGGTCCGAGCTACGACCTGGCCCAGCGGATCCGCCGCCTGGCCGAGGTCAAGGCTCGTGGCCGCTGGTCGGCGGACTCTTCCGTCAGGCGCTACGGCAAGCAGAACCGCATCAACGAGCAGATCGCCGCGCTGCCTGTCGCGGCGCGGGCCTTCTGCGACGACGCCTGGAAGAAAACCGGAAATGTCCTCTTGAAGCGTTCGAATCCCTTAGAGCTGCCGTGAGTGCTGGACAACGTCGTCTACCTCAAGTGGCAGTGGAGTTCTTCTCAGGCTCAGGCAAGTGGTCTTCAGCAATGCGCAAGAGAGGATACGTGACGATTGAAGTCGATGTGATTCATGGGCCCCAGAGTGACGCCACGAATCCGCACCTCGTCAAGTTGTTTTTCCATCTCCTCAACTCAGGGGTGATCTGGGCCGTGCACCTCGGTACGCCTTGTTGTACTTTTTCTCGTGCCCGGGGCCGCGGGGACGGCCCAGGTGCTCTGCGCAGCTCAGACCGCCCCCGAGGGCTTGACGGCCTTCTATCGGCAGCCGACAGTGACAAAGTGAAGGTTGGCAACCATCTTGCCGACTTCTCAGCTCGTGCGTTTGAGCGTTGTCGCCTCCGACGTGTCCCATGCTCGTTGGAGAATCCGCACACTTCTATTTTGTGGTACCTTCCGCAATTTGTGAAGCTGATCGCACGCGAGGATGTGCGCTCAGATTACACAGACTTTTGCATGGACGGTAAACCTTGGAGGAAGAGAACACGTTTGATGACCACGCATATTGATTTATCCCGTGTGGTCCGCCAGTGCACATCAGTTAATGGGATATGCTGCCGCACTCACCGAGCCCATCAAACCCTGGAAGGCAAGAATGAGAAGGGGATTTTTTGGACCAAAATCGCGGAGCCCTATCCCTGGAGGTTGTGTTCCCGAATGTCAGCAGCTGTTGATGCCAGCAATGCCTCGTTGTTTACCAAGAATATGTCTAAGTTGCTGGTGTGACCCTCCCACCCTACCCAGAGTGCCAGATTGCATTATGCTCTTGAGTATTGCATACGGCTCGCCTGTCTGTTCGATTTCCTGCTGGGCGAGCGCCCAGCAATCCGACCAGGTGCAAAACGTTCTGATTCGAGCGATCGTGGTTAAAACAGTACAGAGACAGGCATCCCTCTACGTCGTCTTCTGGGGCTGTCGCCACTCCGCGGTATTCAGGGGGTCGGGGGAGTTTCCAAACCTAGGAGAAGATAAGCAGTGCCAGCACGTGTTTCTTCTGAAGTTTGATAGAACGGTGCGATCCCTTCTTTGTTCTGTAGCTGTGTGGCCCGCCCGCCACTCCCTTTATATAGCAGAGCGCTCTTGAGTATTGCATACGGCTCGCCTGTCTGTTCGATTTCTTGCTGGGCGAGCGCCCAGAAATACGACCAGGTGCAAAACGTTCTGATTCGAGCGATCGTGGTTAAAACAGTACAGAGACAGGCATCCCTCTACGTCGTCTTCTGAGGCTGTCGCCACTCCGCGGTATTCAGGGGGTCGGGGGAGTTCCCAAACCTAGGAGAAGATATATATATATATATATATATATATATATATATATACATACGAGTGGGCACCCGTGGATTACATCCACATTCGTTGCGCGGGTCGAGCCATGGTGGCGCGCGCAACGTTGAGGCGTTGGTATTTACGGCCCGTCCGGGGGGCCGGACTGAGAGCCGTTTGGAGCGTCTTGGGGCCTCTTCGGGACTCTGTGGGGGATCTCCTGGGTTGCCTCGGGGGGTGTTTTTCGTCTGGGAGCCGTTTGGAATGTTTTGGGTGCCTCTGTGGGGGTCTTTGTTGGGACCTGCCTGAAGCTGCCTTGGACGTATTTTTGGTCGTTTTCGGGGCCTCTTGGGCCGTCTTGGGGGCCTTTTTGGCGCTTTGGGGGCACTCTGGGGTCGCTGCGGGGCCCACTGGGGCCGTCTTGGGACTTGGGGGTCTCTTGGGCAGTCTTGGGGCGTTCTTGGAAGTTTCTTTGTGCCATCGTAAGCGCTGGTGGTATCCAAAACTGAATATGTGAGCAACGTACGTTTTACGAAGGGAATGGGACGATGTTTGCCCCTTGCGGGTCCTCTTGCGGGCGGCTTGGGGCGTTTTGGGTTTCGCTGAACGTCTCGAGGCAGTCTTGGTTCATCTTGGGGCGCTCTCGGGCCGTCTTGGGGCCCTTTTGAGCCTCCCTGCGGCCGTCTTGGAGGTATCTTGGGCTATCTTCGGAACCTCTTGGGCTGTCTCGGTGACCTTCTGGACGCTTTCGGAACCCTCTGGGATCGCTGTGGGGGGTCTCGGAGGCCGCGTGGGCCGGGGGACCCCGCCAAATCGCAAGGATCCTTTTGAAGTGCCGGTTTTCCTTTGGATTCGGGCAAGTTTACTTGCATGGACGGGGGGGGGCTGAGTCTGAGGCAAGCCGAAAACGATTCGACGTGCGGAGATCACGCAAGTCGAATGGCGCTTGCACGCTCGAGTTCGACTGAAGAGGGGCGAGGGGGAGAGGGGGGGGGGGGGGGGGCGAACGCCATGCAAGTAAGCTTGCCTGGATCTAAAGAAAAACAGGCTCGAATTGGTTGGATGGATGGATGGATGGATGGATGGGATATATATATATATATATATATATATTATATATATATATATATCCATGTATATGTATATATACATACATATACATAAACATATATATATGTATATATTCGTACGTGGTCCTACATATATGCACATCTATACATATATGTATGCCTGAACCCATTGGTTCGTGCATTTAGCGCTAACCTTTTTTTCTGCCTTCCCATGCTCCAAGACGGCCCAAGAGATCCCCAAGACAGCACCAAGATAACCCAAGAGGCCCCCTTAACGGCCCCAGTAAGACCCAAGATAGCGCTGAGACAGCCCAAGAGGCCCCCAGACGGCCCAAGATACCATCAACACGTTCTTCAGAGAAGGGCATGAGCGATTGACCCGAGTCTTCCGCCCAGACATACGCCGACAGCCCCGGGGAGGCCCTGGAGACACTCCCAAGAAGTCCCAAGACGCGCCCAAGAGCCCGCCCCCAGAACCCCCCAAGAGCCCCTCAAGAGCGTCCCAAAAAGGCATCCAAAGAGATTCTCAGCCTGGGTTTGCCAGGCTCTTTCAGCATCCCCCCTTTAGGCTGCCCTGGGTCCTGCTCGTGGCTGCCTTGCGCGCCTTCGTGTGAAGCCTTCCTGGGCGATTGCAAAAAAACATCTGAGGTATTCGCCCTGGAAGCGTGCCTACAGAGCGAAATTGTGTTGGGCGTCGCCTTCATGAGAAGAACGAGCCGCGTCATCTGTCTGGTACCTTGTGTAGTGCAATATCTAAGCACCTTCCTGCAAGACACAACGACGTGATTCCCAAGGCCGCGCCCAACACAGCTTCGACTGACAGGAAGCCATCCGATTATTTGAATTGCCCAACAGTGGCCCCAGAGTTAACAAGGGCCCTCCGAAGACACCTCCGAAATAGTCCGAGGGGCTCTCGAGACGCCCAGACGATCTTCAAGGCCGCTGAAGACGGTCCACAGGCCACGAGCATCCCGAAGCCTCCCACAAGTTTCCTTCGGGCAGCTGCCCGGTGGATCTGCTCGGTGCAGCGGGATCTTTCGGGGCGTGCTTGTCCAGCATCCACGGACTCCTGAAGCCCCGTATGGTGCTCCTTGCGGAGTGGTGTCCATCCTCTTCCGATCTTGGAGCCTGTTTTTCTTCAGATCCAGGCAAGCTTACTTGCATGGCGTTCGGCCCCCCCCCCCCCCCCCCCCCCCTCCCCCCTCGCCCCTCCCCCCCTCGCCCCTCTTCAATCGAACACGAGCGTGCACGTGCCTCTCGACCTGCGTGATTTCCGCACGTCGAATTGTTTTCGGCTTGCTTCAGACCCAGCCCCCCCCCCCCCGTCCATGCAAGTAAACTTGCCCGAACCCAAAGAAAAACCGGCACTTGTGGGCTGCGCACAAACACACGTCTACGAACACGGCGCTCCGCCTCCCCCCCGACCCCGCCGCTCGGGCGCGGCGCGCACGCCCCCCCCCCCCCCAACTCCGGCGTGGCCGGCGCTCCCTCCGCGGGCGCTGCCCGGCCCACGGAGGGCCTCGCTTCAGGAGGAAAAGAAACACACCGACACAATTAATCCTCGATTGCCCAGAAAATAGGGGGAAATATGGGAGGTGGGGGGGAAAACAGAAACCCAGAACATCTGGGAAAGTATGGGGAATCTTTTTCTTTGTGCGTATTCATTTGTGTGTCCTGGGGCCCCTGAGCCCACACCCCCTCCCACTTAACCTGCAGTCTACAAACCTATCAGACTACAAGTTAGGTGAGATACGCGTGCACTCAACGGAGAGGAGGGGAGGAGGAGGAGAGGAGGAGACAGGGACGGAGGGAGGATATTTTACTCACTCCTCCCCGTCGCCGCCCCGTCCTCTGCTGGCCCTCTGCACAGCTCCCCCGTCCCTCCCCCGCGCCCCTGCCTCTCCTCCCCCGCCGCTCGGGGGCGCTCCGCCGCCGCGGAGCCTAGAGGAGTGGAAGATCAAGGCCGGCTGCATCGAGGCGCCCCGACTCGCCCGGCCCCGCTCGGCGTTTTCGGGGGCTCGGCGGCGAGCCACAGGGGGGAAGTGTAAAACGAGGCGAAGATCGGGACAAAATCGGATCGGGATAACTCGACATCTCTGAGAATCGGCAGGTTTGGAGGATGTATTGGGCGCCGCGGCCGCTCCAGAGCGTTCCGGAACGCTCTGAGAGCGCTCCAGAACGCTCTGGAGCGATTTATCCCGATCCTAGCACTGTTTTAGGGTGGAAGTGACGAGGGGCGCGCCTTCTCTCCAGCAGTGGCGAAAGTGGCGAAGCGTCCTGGCTCGCCTCCTTCTCCGTCGCCCGCGGGGGGGTCCAGCCCGTTTCGTGTGCTCGCTGCTCCAGCCTGTCCAGACCTCTCCCCTGCCCCCTGCCCGTTCCTGTCAGTAGCAGAGCTGAGCACACCTGTGTGGGCGCAAAGAAGAGACACTGCTCAAGCATACACTCTCGGAGCTCCGCGCGGGCGCTGGGCCCCCCCTTTCCTGGCGCGCGGAGCGCGCCAATGGGCGGCGCCGGAGCCGCCGCCAGTGGGACCCAGCGCCGATCCGAGAATTCCCCGAGGAGCTTCGAAAGCGTCGGCGACTGCACTGGGCGCGGTTGCGCCGGCTACGCCGCCCAGAGAACTCGGTCCGTGGACCGCCGAGACACCCTTCGGGAAAACGAGACTTCCCCCAGGCTCGGGGGGGGAGGGCGGCCACAGCAGAGCCTGGACGTCTCCTTCGAGCCTGTTTTTCTTCAGATCCAGGCAAGCTTACTTGCATGGCGTTCGCCCCCCCCCCCCCCCCCCCCCCCCCTCCTCTCCCCCCTCGCCCCTCTTCAATCGAACACGAGCGTGCAAGTGCCTTTCGCCTTGCGTGATTTCCGCACGTCGAATTGTTTTCGGCTTGCTTCGGACCCAGCCCCCCCCCACCGTCCATGCAAGTAAACTTGCCCGAATCCAAAGAAAAACAGGCACTTCCTCCTCTGGGGCCGGGGCCGGGGCACGGGCATCGCGCAGCGGTGCGGGGTGCTCGCTGCCTCGGCCTCGATGGCCAGCTCTCCACGAGGTCGCGCGCGCGCCGCCACGCGTCTTCGGGGGGGGGCGGGCGGCCTGGCTGCTCCTCGCCGTCGGCGGGGGGAGGGGCACGCGAAGCCGCGCGGCGACATGGCTCCCAGAGATCCATCGGGGGTGGACAGAACCCCCAACAGCGACACGCCGATCAGTGAATTGTCCGTTTTCAGTTCTCGAGAGGGCGCCGCGGCCGTTATTTTCCAGGCTGGCGCCCGCCAGGTTTGGGCCTCGGGTCGTTTTCGCTAAACCACGTTTTGCTAAAGGGGGGTCTGTCCATCCCCGAGTCCAGCGCATGCAAGACATCAGGACGGATATGGTTTTCGCCGCTCTCGGCCCCTGGGGGGCCCTCGCCGGGCCCCCGGGAGCGCCAAGGAGCGGCCCAGGAGGAAGTAGTTACCAGCCCCGCGGAAGGGGTCCTGGACTTCGAGGGACGCCGCATCGAAAAAAGTCAGAGCTTCGCATGTCTGGGGTGCCAGCCTCCCGCCATGATTTGGGGGGGGCCTGCCTCGGAGGGGTTCGCCGGCGCCGCGCACGGCCTCCTGGGGGCCGCGGGGGAGCGGCGGGTCGACCACGGGCGGCGGGCAAGGTGACGTTCACGGCCTCGCAAGCTGTGCAGCGGCGCGCCACGGCTCCATGAGCGTGCTCCGCCGGTACGTCCAACGGGATCGGGCCCTTCGGCCGCTTGGCAGAGGCGGCGGACAAGAGGGCGCCCATGACCTCGAAGGCTGTGAGACGGCGCGCCACGGCTCGATGAGCGTGCTCCGCCGGCATGTCCAAAAGGATCGGGCCCCTTTGCTCGGGTCGGGCGAAAGGGGGGGATTGGGAAAGGGGGGGTTACGAAATTTGCTGCATGCAGCTGGTTGCGGCCACACCGAGGGGCCCATTCCTCGATACATAGCCGCCTCCGCCGCCGGGAGGCGCCGGGAAAATCAGCTACGCGAGCTGATTCTCAAACCCCCCCTTTGCTATCCCCCCCTTTCGCCCGGCCCGATTTGCCGAGCGCAGGGCGCCACGCCAGCATCGCGCCCCCGGGCTGTGTTCGGCCAGCCTTTTCGTGATGCAATTGTTGTCGGATGGCCTTCCGGGTGTGGCGCTCGTTCGTCCGCCGGTTGTTGGTGAAGTGTTCTTTCAGCTTCCGTCGTGGCCTCGGGCTTTCGGTGGCCTCGGGCTCTCGGTCGTATTTCCCACTGGGATCATCAGCATCATCATCCTCATCATCACCACCATCATTTTCATCACCATCATCACCATCATCATCACCATCGCCCTCATCATCATTACCACCATCATCACCATCATCATCATCATCATCATCATCATCATCATCATCATCACCATCACCATCATCATCATCATCATCATCATCATCATCATCATTTTACGCATCATCGGTCTCGTTACCATCACCATCAGCATCATCATCACCATCATCATCGTCATCAACAACATCATCATCATCAGTATCATCATGATCATTAGCATCTTCCGACGCAGAGGAAGAACAGTGAAATACATGCTCGAACATATTCACCACGAGTGCTTGTATTTCGTACCGCCACTATGGTGATGAAACACTGCGACAGCCATCCCGCGTGGGTGGCAGTCTTTCCTGATCCTTACCTCCATCCCTCCTGCTGGTGCTGCCTCTGCCTCTCTCCTCTTCTCAGGGTGGCTGCGTCCTCCTCCTCATCTCCTCTCCTCGCGTTGGCTGCTGGTGAGCCTCCCTGACTCAAGGCTTGTGGTCTGCACGACATGTTCTTATAACATTTCTGGCCGAGACTCTCTTGTGTCGACGCATCGGGCCTATCTTCTAAGAGCAGTGTTATTGTTCTTAAAACATGTTTGGGTTCTAAGAACATTTCGTGGTAGGCCTGTAGGAATGCTTGGACGGTCGGTCCCTGCTCAACGCCGGACTCGCCCGTCCAAGCCCGGCGTTTTCGGGGGCTCGGCGGCGAGCCACAGGGGGGAAGTGACGAGGGGCGCGCCTTCTCAGAAGGCTCGGAAGGCCCCGGGCCTTCCGAGAAGTGTTCTGAGCAGGGCGCCGGAGGCGGGGGTACAGCAAGCGGGTGCACGGGGAGCGCCGATTTCCACGTTTGACCGTGGCCCCGTTTGGGGGGCCCCAGGCGCCTTAGACGGGGGCACAGTAAGCGAGGACATGCGGAAGAGGCCAAAGCCTCCGTTGAGCTAAACCCCCGTCGGTGAAGCACCGAGCCGAGCCTGCCAACAGCGCAGGGCCTCTGGGAGGCCTCGCCGCCTTCTTGAGGAGGCCCGGCCCCCTCGCACTTCCTCCCCGGGCGCGCGGCGAGGGGCCCATGATAGCATCCGATCAATCCTGTCCGGTAGAGCATCCGGCGGGTCGGATCCGATTCGATTGCGAGGTTCAGGCTCGGCGGCCTCCCAGAGGTCCGAGGCTCCGAAAGGACGGGATCGGCCGGCTTTTGGCCATGTTCGATTTCTGGGGGCCCCCAACGGGCCCCGGAGCCGACACACCACTACTCGGGACGAAATTTTGGCCCTGTAGGGAAGGCGTCCAGACCTACGGGGATCCACGCATCTAAAGAATTGGAGCGCCAGTGAATCATGGCCTGGGCCATGATATCTCATCGGATCTCACGGACCCCCTCTTCTTGTTTCAATGCGTCCCCTGTTCCCCCCCTCGTTCGCGCGCATGCGGAGCCCCCTCTTGGACGTCCCCCTCTTGGACGCACCGCGTGGTGAGCCAGTGGGGATGTGGGGTCACCGCACGGTTATGGGACTCGCGTCGTTCTCCGAGGACGTCTCGGGCGACTGGGGTCCCTGAGGCCCCAAAACTTTGCGGTGGCGGATCGCGCGATGGGGTCGTAAGGGATTCCGAGATCACCGCACGGTCCATCAGCACACGGCTTTCACTCCCCGAAGATCGGGTCGGGCGAAAGGGGGGGTTTGGGAAAGGGGGGGTTACGAAATTTGCTGCATGCAGCTGGTTTCGGCCCCGCCGCCGGGCCGATTCCTCGATACATGGGCGCCTCCCGGCGCCGGGAGGCGCCGGGAAAATCAGCTTCGTGAGCTGATTCTCAAACCCCCCCTTTGCTATCCCCCCCTTTCGCCCGACCCGAGAAGATGCTTTTGCACTGGATGGACCCTGGGCGGGGTCCGCGGATTGATTTTGAGCGGATTTGGCTTCATCCCCCTCCTGATTGATTTTCTGGGCCCCCAGCCAGTTGAGACCCTCCCCGTGCCGCCTCCAAAACCCCACAGCGCCGTCTGGGAACCGTCTGGGCCATACGTTCGGAGCACGACGCTCAAATTAGCAGTTTGGGCGTTTGTATGCCGCCTTGCTCGGCGGCAAACAAAAAACACCGCGGCCTTAACATTCCACCCTGGACGGGGGCTCGCGTCTGAGCCCCCTGAAGCTCCCACGTCAACCACGAAGGGGGCTCACGTCTGAGCCCCACTTGAGGGACGGAGGGACCGAGGAGGGAGGGGGAATGTGTAGAACAACGCACTGGATTGTCTGCTGAAGCGGAGCGAACCTTTCCCAGGCGCTGCTGAGAGCACCTCGACTGAACGATCCAAAAGGCGGAACGGGGAAGAGGTACCTCGGTGAGCGCCACCTTCCCGCGCGGATTTTTTGAAGGTCCGCGCGGATCTCTTCGATCGTCGCCGGGCCCCTTGGCGGCTTCTCCAGCCCGCACGATCAGGTGATGCTCCCGTGCATCCGCCAGATGGACGTGCCCTCCTCAGCGGCGTCTCTGCGGGGTCCGCGCTTCGGGGGGCGGTGGGGATCAGCGGGGGGCCGGGGAGGGACTAATGGGAGGGCGGGGGACGAGGGGGAGGGCGGATGGAGGACGGGAAATGGGAGAGCGGTGGCAAACGAACCAAGTATAGAGGAAAACAGTTCAACTACATATCCATGTACATACACACATACATATATATATATACAAATATCTATAAGTATATATGTATAGAGAGGGTAGCGACAGAGAGAGAGAGAGAGCGGGATGATTGAGGGAGTTATATTTGTGTGGACTCTGGTTCGCACCCATACACAACATATATATATATATATATGTATGTATGTATATATATATATATATTTCTCACCGGTGTAGCGCACGGCGGGGGGCCCAGGCTCAACACCGCAATTGTTTACTTTGGGATGTTGGTACAGCTCTGCGGGTGGGACGTGGCAGTTTCGGAGAAACCCAGATAGCTTTGCTGTTCCAGCTTGGAATTGTTTTTCGAGGGCGGCAAAGAGGGGGGTGATGACTAGGGGGGGGGGATATCATGGCGTGGGCCATGAAATTTCCCCAGATTTCATGGCGCCTCTTCTTATTTCATGACGTCCCTGCTCCCCCCCCTGGGCCGCGCCGCGCACATAATGCAGGCCATGATTTGCACCCCCTACCCCTTGGACGCCTCCCTCTTGGCCGCTCCCGAGTTTTGTTCCGCGAGAGCGGCGAGAGAGGTTTGCAGAGGTCCAGGGAGGACGTGAAGCCCAGGTCGCCCGCGACCTGACCAGAGAGCAGTTTCCATGCGCATTGCAGTGTTGTGTTGCGCTGCTGTTTCCGTGCGCTACAGCTTTGCCGTTCTAGTTTCAGCTTTTGATTCCGCAGGTGAAGCGAGAGCGGTTTGGAGTGGTTCATGGCGGGTGCCAAAGGCCACGGTTCCTTCGACCCGACAAGAACAGCAGTTGTGTCATTATGCGTTGTTGTTCGCTGCAGCTTGTTTGTTTAGGCTGCAGCTGTGCTGTTCTAGCTTCAGCTTGGGATTCCGCGAGTGTGGCGAGAGTGGTTTCGAGAGGTCGTGGGAGGGAGCCACTGCTTCCTCGAATCGACCGGAAAACAGCTCCTCTGCATTGCAGGCTTTGGTATGTTGCGTTGCGGTATGTTTTGTTCTGCGGCTTGATTGTTCTAGCTTTACTTGTTGAGATCGCGTGTGTTCGAAGTGGTCCATCGAGAGTTTGAAGCCCACGGCGCTACGGCACTTTTCGACCCGACTAGATTGCAGTTGATTGGTTTGTGTATCTGTTGCGTTGCAGTTCGCTTGATGTTTGCAGCTGTGCTGTGATAGCTCTAGTTTTAGATCGCGCGATTCAGGCGAGACCTGGATTGGAGAGGCCTGGCTGATCAAATCGGTCAGTTCGGTGTTGTCGGTAGGTGAAGATTGTGATTTGTTGGTTGGTCTTTCTGGTGTCGTTTGGTCTGTTGGTTTAGTTACCTGTTACGGTTGGGCTCTTGGTATGTTTGGTCTGGCGTGTACGTTTCGTTTTGGCATTTTGGTAGTTATGTTATGTTGTGTTTGGTTCGTTGGCTCACCAATCAGAGATTGGATTCATTCACCAATCAAAGCTTGCCTCTGTAGGGGTCCTAGCATATTCATATGGTTAGGCTAGCTGCGGCGCTGATTTCGGCGGCACGCCCGGGTTCCCAGGTCCCCAGGCGTTGGCCCTTTAGCTCTATAGCTTTATAGCCCTGTAGCCTCGTAGCCCTATAGCCCTATAGCCCTACAGCCCTATAGCCCGAATAGCCCTATAGCCCCATAGCTTTATAGCTTTATGGTTGAGAGTTCCGTGGCAGTCTATCTGGTCTTGGAGCAGTTGATGGGTTTTGATGCCCTGTGGGGTGTCGTTTCGGAGTTGGGGGTCTGATGGGCCCCGCGTCGGGTGCAGCTTTTGGGAGTAGCGGGTCTGATGGCCCTGGTTGGGCCACCAGCAAAAGGTTGATGCCATTTTTGTTTTTTTCGAGAGGCAGCAAAAATGGCAAATCACAAGTAGGAGGGGGAGGCGGGGGGAGGGAGGAGGAGGAGGAGGAGGAGGAGGGGGAGGAGGAGGAGGCGGAGTAGGAGGCGGAGGAGGGGGAGACAAGGCAAGTCGTGCTCATGCTCCTTTTCCCTCCTACGGGGGGGTCGGCAGGTTGCGAGAAGCTTGATGGCAATGTTTCGCGTGCCATGGTCTAGAGGGGGAGATTAGGCAGACCCCGTAAGTAGCCTCCCCCGCGGTGGTACTCAACGCGCCCCTTCACATATCGGACACACGCTCCATTCAACACATCTCACTTAAAGGTGGGGCAGCGATGGCCCCCGCAAAATGACATTAAGCATGTGCGATCTGTGTGAGGGGTCTGCCGATATTGGATCAATGTGCAATGCTAAACACGCGTGCCGTAACCATTTTGGCTCAAACATCACTCGGCCTTGTTATTGCCCACGATGAGTTCGCCATCGGAGGCTTTCTTGTCCGATGAGGAGTGGGGGGTTCCCTCCATTCCGACTCCTGATGGCCGCCTGGCTGACGCTGCTGGAAGCGACGGCCCGCAGGCGGAGGAGGAGCAGGAGGATTGGCTGGCGGACAGCCCTCCTCGCTCCCCGAGCGCCGAGGTGGGCGGCGGCCAGGGGATCGTGCTGCGCCAGCCTGCCTCCGCGCGCGCCGTGGCAGGCCCGCTGGTGGAGGCCGCTGGCAGCGGCGGCGGCCGACGGCACTCGGTAGGCCCTCTGGCCAGCTTGGCGCTGGTGATGGTCGAGAAGAGGTTCCCCGACGGCGGCGCCGTCACCTTGTCGAGCGCGCTCTCGGTGGGACAACGACTGGGCATACCGCGAGGACACTTCAGAGAACGCGTGTATGCTGTTGCTCACGCGACCTTCGTGGCCTCGCGAGAGCACGTGCTGTCCGTCATCGACCGCATGCTTGGCGCATGCAGGGCCTCTCGGGAGCAGCTCGGTAGTGCTGTCACCGCGCCATTGGTGTTCTTCCGAAAGCGCAAATACGATGGCACACGCATGAAGCTCACGACCACCGTGTCGCAGGTGTACGATGACGACGTCATCTGTGAGCACACGGTTGGCGCTCGCGAGGTTTTCGTCGCCAAGGGCCAGTTCGGCATGATGATGCGACGCAGGGCCGATGGTGGTGCTGCGGACTTCTTGCACGTGCATGGCACTGTGCCGACGCATCTTTGTGTGCTCGACGGCTCTTCTGCTGAGGTCGTGCACGCGGCTCTGCGCAGGCAATTGGATCTGCCTTGCGACGGCCCCCTCGACCTGATGGTCCCCAGGCAGGTGGACATCGCGTGCTGCGACGCTGCCAGTGGCAACCTCCGAAACGAGCGTGCCTTTGCAGAAGCGTTCCCTCGGAGGTCTCAGCTGACCTTGTTGTGTCGGGCACACAAGAAGAAGAAGGTCGCCGAGCAGGGGCTCATCGCGATCAGGCCATTCGACACGAACCTCGTTCGATGTCAAATGTCCTTGACGGGTGATCACCTTCTCGAGCTGAGACACCAGGCCAGGTTGATCCATGGAGAGCAGCTCGTGGTCAGAGGAGGTGTACCCCCAGCGGCAGCCACCGCGCACCGCGACGCCATTTGGGACCTTTACTTTGGTGGTTCAAGTGACCCAATACTTGCGTATCGCAAGGAGGTTGTTTCAAGATTGTACAATGGAGATATTCGCAAGCATGGCGTCCTTGAGCACTATTGCAGAGGATGTTGTCAATCGCCCAAGCACACTCTGTTCTTGATGAGGAGGTTTGGGGTCCCTGCGCTGTTCGGCAGGATTGACGTTCTAAACAGAGCCAACTGGGCTGACAAGATGCGCAGTCACCGATCCATTGGTGTGCCAGCGTCTGTCCATGGTATTCTGCAGGCAGCCTACTTGCGCGCGCTGCCAGGGAAGGCAGCCCGTGCGCCACGTGCTGTTGCTGCTGGGCCTGGTGGCGGCGCTCCTCCAGGGGATGCCGAGCAGCGTGCCGCTGGAGACGGCGGCGCCGACCCTGCTGGACCTCAGCCCTCGGCCGACGGCCCAGACGGCGGGGACCCAGCAGACCAGGACGACGTGAACGCCTTCAGGGAGCAGCACGACCAGCGAGTTGCTGGCAGCCGCGCCTGGATGCTCAGCGGCGCCGTCGCTGACGATATGTTCATCGGCTCGGTGCTGGCCGTGCGCACGGACTCCTACGTCACGCGGCAGTTGGCCTCCAGCGGCTCGGCATTCGAGAAGCTGCAGCAGCACAAGGTGTCCCGCGGAGAGCCGGGGACATATCAAGCGTGGCTGGCTCATGAGGACGAGGACACCCATGAGTTGTTCAGAACATGCTACGAGTCAATCTTCAACGCAGCATCGTGGTCTCCATTGCAGGAGCATACGGAGGCGGTGTCGCTGAAGGTTTACCGTTTGATGTCAAGGATGGGCGGGGTCGCATACCATCTTGTGCACAGGGCCAATCGGAATTGGCCGATGCCGTTGCTGTATGCCCTCAAGGAGCCTGCACATTTGCACGCTCTCGGTGCGACCAAGCCCTGCCTTCTGGACCCGTACTCCCTGGATTTCGCGAAGTTCTACCATGGGCGTTTGGGCTCGCAGGAGGCAGCGAATGAGCTGAAGGGCGTCCTGGTCATGGCCGACATGGACACCGCCGACGTGGAACGGCTGCATTCGGTGAACCAGAGGAGTGCGCGCTTCAGGGTTTGGACACACGTCGAGACCGTCGCAGAGGTGAGTGCCCATTTCACGGCGCAGTCGGCAAGTGATTTCGACGTCGATTCAGCACCTTGCCCGACCGACCTTCGGAGAGGCCCTGCCCCGAGGCGGAAGCGCCAGGCGCAGGACCCGCGACGCGGTCGCAACAGCCTCCAGCAGTGGATGTGGCGCGCATTCGTGCACGTGAACGGCATGTACATATCTGATGGGACTGCTGCAGAGTTGTCGGAGATGTATTCTCAGCTGGAGGGGCCTGAGCTTGATCAGTACAGGCTGCTGGCTGCCATTGCGAGGGATCGTCATCTGTCTGGGGAGCGTGGCTTTGACAGGCGTCGGAAGCCGAGGGTGTCCTCGGCGTCGGACGGCGCGCTAGCTCTCGGCATGGAGCCGAGCCGCCCTCGGAGCAAGCGTCCAGCAGCAGAGGGTGTCGCGCCGCAGGTATCTCAGTTCGCCAACGTTCGCTCGTCGATTCTGGAGGCTGCGGCGGCTGCTCGGGAGGAGGCCTCCCGCCGACGTCGCAGGGAGGGCTCGCAAGAGACCCGCGCGGCGGCCGCGGTGCGCGATGCTGCCCGCGCGTCCAGGCAGGCCAGCTTGGAGCGGGACGGCAGCCTGCTCGCGCTCGTGGATCGGGCCGCTGGCCCCGTCGCCGACGTCGAGGTCCAGGTCGATACGGGCGCGGTTCTCAGGTATCGCAGGCGCGCGCCGAACGTCGTTGCAGACGCCTGCCAGAGCTTTGGCGGCAGCAGCGGCGAGTCGGTGGATCAGCGAGCGTCGAGGTGGGAAGCCTTGCGCACGACTTTCACGAAGTCCAACGTGCCATGCCTGGGCAGAGTGGCCATCGACCGCAGGGTTTGCCACGAGGCGGAGACCTGCATCCACGAGGGCGACGGCATCGGGCTGCGGCTGATCGAGCGGCACGTCAAGTTCGTGTTCATTCTCCTTCGCAACTCGTTGCTTGGCAAGAAGGCCGCCAAGGCTCCCGCGCGCCTCCTTGGAGGCTTCATGCAATCATAGTAGCAGCAGCGTTCAACGAATGCCACAGATTCCTTGAAGGCTTAGGCCCTCAAGGACATCTCTTGGCCTTCGCTGGCGGTAGGGGGGGGGGGGGGAGGGGGTCGCATGCTGGGCCAGCCTTTGGGGACCTTCGGGAGGTCCCGCCCAGTGGGCCCCAGGGGCCAGGAACGAGCCTTTGCGTGCCTCGGAAGCCTTGCGATGTCCTCTTGGGGGCAGCAGACGAGGGGTGCCAGGGGGGTGGGCGATGACCTCAGGTGGCCAACTACGCTTGTGCGTTTCGGGGCCCTCTCACGGAGGCGTCGCCGTGCCAGCCCTTGGCGTCGTTGATCGCATTCGCGGCCTTCGAAGGCCGCTTCGAAGAAATGCGGATGAGGCCTCAGGGGGGTGCCAGATATAAGTTCGATTGGGCTTCGGGTTGTCTTAGGGAGCAGGGCAATGTGCCGCCGCATCTAGTCGGGGCCTCTTCGGGATCCCCACTGGCCCCCCTTTTGCTTCGAGGTCGCGCTATCGCCACGGTTCCTGCTTTGCAGCCTGTCTGGCAGAGGAAGGGGGGGTTGCTGTCGCAAACGTTCGCCGATCTCGCATGCAGGGGATGGGGCGGGGAGGTCGGCCCCCAGCGCCCCCGCGCCTGCAGCCCTGCGAGCCCCATCCCCGAATGTCCCCAGGAAGCCTTGATTTACAATCCAGCCTTTTGAAACAATCGACGGCCGCGTTTGTGAGGGACGTCAAGATCGCGATGGGGTTCCATCGCGATCTTGACGTGCCTCCGTTTCATGACTCAGGCCTTCGGTGGGTGTCGAGGGCCACCTTGGGGGCCTGCAAGGGGAGGGGCGCTGTGCTGCCGTGCAGGGTCTTTGGGCTTCGGAACAAGTTCACAGATGCAGATCCCTTGGTTTTGTAGGGGCCCTTATGGGGTTCAGAGGTTTCCTGGGGAGTTTTCTGGAGGGGCCCTCACGGGGCTCAGAGGTTTTTCGGCGGCAGCGCAACTGTGATTGCATGAAGCAGCCAGGGGGGGGCTCTCCGATGAAGGCACTGCTGGCCAGTGGCGACGGCGTGCTCCGCTTCACCAGCACCACGGCCATTCAAGAGGCCGAGGCAGATGCCGCGGGCGGCTCGGGGTTGGATGTCGTTGAGTGCGGTGCTGATGATGATGGAATCGTTCATCGTTTTTTTTCATGTCGCTTTCGATTTCCAGAAGCCTTTCTCGCCCACGGTGGTCGAGCTGGAGAGGGACCAGCCCAGGGACTGCGGCGACATCTTGGGGGTGTCACCGATTCGGGTCGAGGATCCGAAGATGTTCTGGCGATCCCTTTGGGAGATGATCAAGAGCTTCGAGGCGGAGCAGATCAGGGCGATCAGCTTCTGGCGGTTCGTGTCTCGGTCCAGGCAGGTCGCCAGCGTGGAACCATGGAAGCTGTACATCAGCCGCCGGACTCCCGAGGTCGACCCGCCTCGGCCCAAGGCTCGCCGACAGCGGCGCGCTGCAGGAGGGGGCCGCGCTGGGCGCCAGGGCCGCGGGCGCGGCGGGCGCGGCAGGGGCGGGGGCAGGGCTGCGGCGCTTGCCGATGGCGATGCGAGCAGCCAGTCTGGCTCCAGTTCGAGCTCGTCGAGCTCGCCGAGCTCTTCGAGCTCGTCGAGTTCGGACTCCGACGACCCCGCCGAGGGCAAGGATGGCGGCGCCGAGGCTTCGTCCGATCCGGACGAGGACCATGGCGAGACCACAGAGTCCGCTGAGGGCGACAGCGTTCCCGAGGACGCTGATAGTGACGGAGGCTGCGGCGAGGACGGTGATGCCCATCCCGCTGGCGGCGACGGCGGCGAAGGCGAGCACGACGGCGTCGCGGCCGACATCGACGGGGCGATAGCGGACGTCTTCTTCGGACCACCGTTGCCGCCGCCCCCAGTGCCGCCGCCTGCGGCGCCGCTTGGACCTCCACCTGCAGCGCTGGGCGGAGGAGTTGCGGGCGGCCCGAAGCATCTCGGCAAGGTGCCCGCTGAGATTGCGGTTCGCCACCGCAGCGGCATCATTCGATTTTACGGCACGACGAGCACCATGGTGGCGCAGTGTTTGGTGCCATCACACCAGGGCGAGGCTTCTGGATGCTTCCTTACCCGAACATGCCGAGAGATGAAGAGCAACAGGGCGAAAGGCAGGTGCCTCGGCCTGATGTGCGCGTGGCTCGGCGTGACCGAGGAGACGGGGATCACACGATGGGACCACGTCCACACGTGGAAACCTGACCACGCCGAGCGCAGGGATGCGCGGCGGGACGCGCTGGCCAGCGGGGAGCCGTCGTTCAGGGCCCTGGCCGAGAAGGAGAGGGGCGAGAACGACTGCGACGTGGATGGCGAGCCGATCCGCGACCCTTGAGAAAAAGGAATAGCGTGAGGCCCCTGATGGTACAATCGGGTCCTCATCAGGGTGCCGTGGGGCTTCCTCAGTGGTGTCTTGGGGCCTGCATGATATCTTGGGGGCATCTTGGGGTGCTTTGTGGCTTCCGCATGGGGCCAGCCGTAAGGTCTGTCTGGGTGTTTGTTTGGGGGCTGGCCTCGAGGCAGGCCGTGGGGCCTCATTGAAGTGTCGTCGGGCCTCCTTAAGGTGCCCATATGGTGCTCACGCAACGCGCGCTCACGCACTCACTCCCAGGCCCACTCGTGCTCAACCCACTCACGTTCAGACCCACTCGTGTTGTTTTCCGCACGTGGGTAGGATACGCTCTGTCATATCACAATCGGGCCGCGCGTGTTCGCCCTGCGCGTCCATGAAAACGGCCATGGCCACCGCGATGTAGCAGGCTTGCAGCATGGTCCTAAGCTGACTGTTGTTAGAGGGTTGGCGGGCGGGGACAGGGTCGCACCCATGGCGGCTTCGACGAGGTGAGGGCGGTTAGCGCCTGGCGCGGGGGAAAGGGCAGAAGGTGCATTGCACGTTTCGTTGCCTCTCCCCACGCGCGGCCGCTGGTCGCTCCAAGCGCTTCCCACCCTCCACCTTGTCTTAGCTGCCCTTGTCCCCGTTCCGACGCGGCATTTCCCGTCGGGCCGCTTGCGTGGCGAGGGTGATGGGGGAAAGCGGAGGGGTATGCCCACAAGAAGGAAGAAGGCTATAGCCATGTCGAACCCAGGAGGGTGCTAAGAACAGCGAGGCGTTAAGCATCCTCCTCATCAGCATGCCCATCACCCTCCCCCTCATCATCATCATTTCCTCCTCCCCCTCCTCCTCCATGGCTCATCCTAGCGGAGCCTGCGGGCATCCGATGGGGCACTGTTAGCCCCTTCTGGTGCGTGCACCAGGGCGCCCTGGCCACTGGGGCCCGCCAGGGCCCGACGCGCAACACCGCGCGCAGGAGCTATTGCGAACGCCGCTCGGTCGCGAGCCGATGGCGCTCGATAGAGGTTGCCTCCATTTAAATGAGGCGTTCGCCCATTGATGGTCGTCGTTGCAACGCTCTCTTCATCGCCCCCCTTGCTGGCGCGCGCGCCAGCTGCCCGAGCGACGCGCGCTGTCAAAGTCCAGGCGGCTGCTGCCCAATCGGTGCCAGCCGACACGGCAACTGGCAGTTTTGCGCGCGGGGTCTTCTGCAGGGCGATGCTGTTCGTTGTTGCCGACGAGCGCGCGGGCGTTGAGCCCGCGCAGAGCGGCGCGTCGCTCGACCATGTCAGCGCCGCAACGTGCGGGCGCCAACGGGGAGGCCAAGCACCCTCTATCGTCAACCTCTGCGGTTCGCCGAGGACGTCGAGGGGGTTACCTTCCAATGTGCCCAGCTTCAGACACGTTTTCAAGCAATGTGTCCCCCAGCGGCATCCAAGCCCAACTCGCGCCCTGCGGCGTTTTCATCGCAGTTGGTGCCCTGTCCGTTGCTTGCGGCCAGGCGCATCGCCTTTTAGAGGCACAGGCGCGCAAACGTTCGAACCTGTTGCGTTCGATTCGTTTGCGCGCCCAAGCACTGCTTGAGAGCTTCGCGCGGCATTCGGGCTTGCGCTGTAGTTGCGCGTGTCGCATGTTGGTCAAGCGCGCCGCTCCCGAGCGCCACCGTCAATTTGTCGTTTGCGCTTGCCGTGTGCCGACGCCCCGCATTGGGCAACAGCGGGTAGCCAAACGGGTCCCGCGTTTTTTGTTCAAGCCATGCGGTTGGCACAGGAACGCGGAACGCGATTGGCTGTGCCCGTGCGAGGGAACGCGCTGCTATGTCGTTCAATCTACGGCGCGCAGGGTCAAGCCAGATATGGATTGCGCGGCTGCGCAGTTCAATGGCGCCCCAGCGCAGCGCGCTTACCCGACGCGTGCGTTTGCAGCCGCATCGGCGCATTTGGGCGCCATCGTGCCTCCATCCTGGCGCGTAGTTGCCCAAACTCTTACGGGTTCGGCCAATCGTGGCTTGTTCCCACGCCCGTTGCCCACCGTTTGTTGCCGATCGGGGCGGCGGCGCGCTCGCCGCAGTCAGCGCGCGAATTCGGCGCAGGCCGCGCGCGCCATCCACGCGGCGGCCGCGACCTCATGAAAGCCACGCCGTGCTCTGACACGTCGATGCCTTTGTTGTCGCGCGTCCTCCTGCTCGCTACAGAGCTGTCTTTGTCTTGCCCATGCTAGATTGCGTTGCCTCGCCACGCGCCCCGTCCATGCGCCGCCCTTGCCACATTAAACTGCAATCGCGCCAGTTGTGCGGTCGGACATCGGCGCCATGGGCAACGCATGGGCCTACTTAGCGCCGCCCGCTGCCCCCTGTGGCAGCCGATGCCAGGACGAGTGGCGCAAGCGTCCTTGGCCGACCCTTGCGCAGTCAGCTTTGCCCCACGCAGAATGTCACGGCCGCGTTGGCCATGTTGCCCGTGGCAATTGGCGCCGCGAGCGTTCGCGCTCGTGCGCGCAGGTAGCTTTGCGCGCATTCCGCAATGGTCGCGTGGGATCTGCGCGGGGCCTTCGCAACCCGTTGTGTTTCATGGGCGCCGCCGCACGTCGCGTTTGGCCCCACCATGTGCGCCTGGGCGGGAGTGGGGGGGCGGCGTGGGTGGGGTGGAGCGCGCGCGTGCTGGCAGGGTTGGGTTGATCGTGGGTGGGGGGGGGGGGGGGGTAGCGCGGTGAAGAAGCGTGGCGCGCGCGGCGCGGGACGGGTGCGCGGTGGTCTTGCGCGTGGCGGCGGTGGCGGTTGGTGCGAGCTTGCGCTGCGCGAGCAGGCGGGCGCGCGCCCGCGGCGGGCGCTGGCGGGCGTGTCGGCGCGCGCGACAACACAATGCGATGGCTCGGCCGCGTCCTAAGCCGCGCGGGGGAGGGGGGCGGGCCGCGCGTCGCACTCAACGGGCAAAGCCAGTGGTTGACATGGCAAAGAAGAGCAAGCCAGAGCAGGGCCATGCGACTGACGGGAAGAAGAAGAGCCAGACGGCGGAGCATGTTGGCGGGACGTGGCAGATCTGCAATGCTGCTCGGCAAGCCTGCTGCGCGCGCGCCTCGCTGGCGTCAGATCTGCCACTCGCGCGCGGCGCAAGATAAGCATAATTACGGGACAAGGGTGCACAAGCTGGAGAAGGACACGGCGACCCACAAGAAAACGGAGCCAATAAGGACATTGCAACTACGAGCGCGCCAGAGAGGGTGCAGACGACTGACGGGCAGAAGAAGAACCATACGGCTGAGCACGCTTGCGGGAAGTGGCAGATTTGCGTTGCTGTTCTGCAAGGCTGCGGGGTGCGCGTTCTGTCGCAGCAGCAGGTCTGTCACGCGCACGCGCGGCGAAAAGACTGAGCATAGTAATAGCACGATGAATAAGGACAGCCCAGAGAAGTGCCACGAGACCGACGGGAAGAAGAAGTGCAAGACGATTGTGCAGAACTGACGGGACGCGGCAGATCTGCGCTGCTGCTCGGAAATTTGGCGCGCCAGCTGCGGCGCAGTAGAGGGCGCCGCGCGACAGTTGCGCGCTCTGTCGCCGACGAGGCCAATCGCGCGGAGCTGTGGAGGCCGATGTCGCAGACACGCGCGCGCGCGATTCGCCAGTCTCCGACGGCAGTGCGGGCGACGCCGTCATTCACGAAAGGCGGTTCCTGCCGTCTGGCGTCGATTGGCAAGGGGCGCGCCGCTCGCGGCGCGCGTTGTCGACAGCCGCTCGCGCGGCAGTCTCGGTAAGGGAAGGCCGCGACGTGGCTGGCGCGGCGGCCGATGGGGGGTGGTGGGGTGCGTGGAAGCGTCATCGGCTTGAGGGCCTGGGTTCGTGCGCTCGCCGCCTCGTGCAATCGTGCCGCGCGCGAAACGGCATGGCCCCTTGCTCGGGGGCAGCGCCGCTTGTGCTTCCACCGCGCCATCTGGCGACTTATCGGTGTCTTGGCGCCGCCGAGGCGGGCGGGGCGCCGTGCGGGCGTCTCGTTGGCCTCTGTGTACACTGCAGACTTGGATTGGGTGGGAGGCGAGTGCGGCGGGGTGGGGTGGGGGGTGGGGGGGGGGGGGGGTGGCGGGCGCGGGGTGTGGGGGGTTGTTTGTTGGTTTGGTGTAGCGCGTCTTCGGGTGCAGGCGGCGCTCGCTCGGAGTCCAGCGGCGGCTCATCCAAGTTGCTCGTCGCCGCGCAATGCCAGCGCCCGCCCGAGCGCCGCCGCGCCGCGTGGGCCACTGGGCGGGGCGGCGCCCATCGGACCCGCACCGCGAGCTCGTCGCACCCGTCGCGCGCGCCATCGTACCCCCATCAAAAGTCATGCCCGAAAAGCGCCCAGGCCGACGCGGCCATCAGACCCCCATCAAAAGTCATCAACCGTCATCACCGAAAAGCTCCCAAGCGGGCACGGTCATCAGACCCTCATCAAAACCCAGCACCCCCCCATCAAACCCCCATCAAAAGTCATCACCGTTTTCCTCCATCAAAAATCATCAGAAGTCATCAAAAGTCATCAAAAGTCATCAGAAGTCATCACCACACCGACGCACAGGGCATCACGGGGCATCAGAAGTCATCAAAAGTCATCACCGAAAAGCTCCCAGGCGGACGCGGCCATCAGACCCCCATCAAAAGTCATCAAAAGTCATCACCGAAAAACTCACAGGCGAGCACGGCCATCAAACCCCCATCAGAACCCCATCAAAAGTCATCAGGCCCGCTAGTCGCTGCGCCACCCTCCCCCTGGCGGCCCATCGGCTGGGCGCCGCGAACCCCCCCCCCTCCCCCATGGCCTTCACCCTGCACCCTCACCAGGGCGCCGCTGCTGCGCGTGCGACTCTGAGAAGCGGAGGTCGGGGGGGGGCGAGGTGCGGGCGCGGGCGTTTGCGTCCGTGCCGCTGGGCGCTGTGGTGGTGGTTGAACGGCGGTGGTGGTGGCGAGCGCACGGGGTGGGCGGGTGGGGCAGTGGGTGCTGGCATGCGTCTGCGTGCGCGTGGGGGGCGGGGCCCGTCGGCGCGCCAAGCGCACGTCGGCGGGCGCTGGCGAGCGGCTGCCTTGGGGCGCGGGGTGGCGTCATGGGCTCCAGCGGTTGGTTATTCTCGGGTGAGGGGGGGTAGTCGGGGCGCTGCGCGATCGGGCGAACCTGTCGTAGCAGTGGTGGCGGCGAGAGAAGCGTTGCGCTCGACAAGTGGTGGTGGCGCGGTGGTCTGGCGGAGCATCTCGAAGTCGGTTGCCCATTAGAAGATTGGGGCGGAGGTCTTGAATTTTGTCAACCTACCCCCCAGTGCACTGTCGGGGCACGGAAAATATGCCCAGCGGCATTTTCTGCGCATGGCGCAGTCCGACTTGCGGGCTCGGCCCGCGCGATAGCCATCGGTGGCCATAGCGGGCGTGGGGTGGGCGCGAAAATTCGGAACCGCTCTCGGTCGCGAACTTTGCTGCGTCGTCGCGGCCGACGCCGCGGCTGGCGCTGACGCGTGCGCGCGCTTCTTCTCTCGAGCAGGATGCGTTGTCAACGCTCGCGGCGCGCTCGCGCGCGCGCCATCTGCGTCGCCCGCGGCTGTTCCTGGATGGCGTTGCTGCCCAGGCTCGGCCACGGCTGGGCGCGCCTTTGCCCAGGCGTTACCCAATGGCGCGCCCGCGCCCGAGCAGCTCCTCGCTGGCCGCGCGCGATCAAAGCCCAGCCGCTCGGATCAGAACCCGCATCCGCGCGCGACGCGGCGGGCTCCGCTGCTGAAAGGCGGCCCCAGGTGGGGCAGCGTGGGCGTCGCCGCGCGTGGACCCGTACTTCAGCGGGGCCAGCGCATGAGGGTGTCGGCCTGGGTTGGGTTGGACCCAGAAGCCAACGCCCTAGGCGACGCAATCTCAGCGAGGCCTCAGCAGGGGTGGCGCCGCGCCGCGCTTTGCGCGCCCAAGGGTCATTGCTTCGAACGTAACCAATCCCGTGCAGTGCCAGGGCCTTGCCCATCGCTTTGCCTTGGGGCTGGCCCGCGGGCCAGAGCCGCTAACGGTGCCAGTCGCAGCGGGGCCAGGGCTGCGTGCCTTCGGGCTGAATTGAAGCTGCCTTTTGCCGCCGATGGGTTGGATGCTGCTTCTCCCGAGCAGGGCCCCAGCTGGAAAGCGCACATTGCATTTCGGCAGCGCCAGTGGCCATTGCAGCCGACGAGGCGATGCACAACAGTGCTGCGCTTGGGGCGTCCCGCCACGCGTCGGCGGCGCCCACTGGCCAGCGCTGTGAGCGGCGCCAAGCCCGAGCGGGGCCAGGGCTCGAAGGCGCCGCCATGGCTTCGGGCGAGCTCAGCACGCGCCCTGGAGGACGCCTGCGGCCGCAGGGTCCAGGCAGAGTGGCCACGCCAAGTACAAGGCAGGCGCATCGGCCTGCGCCTTGAACGCGGCCATGCAGTGCCAAAGGCGAAGGGCTTCGCCTGGATGGGCGCGGCGCCAGTAGCCAGCGCCCTGGCCGATGCAATGCCCGCATGGCCAAGGCTGCAGCACATCGCGCCGCGCTGGGGGTGGGGGGGTGGATCACGAGGGCAGCGCTTTGAGCTGGGCCCGCCTCGAGCTGCGCCTAAGCTGGAATGCCGTCAAGTGGCCCACGGCCTTGACAGAACCGACGCCGCAGGGGCCAAGGCTTCCTGATCTCGCATGCTAATTGGCGTGACCACGGGCCAGCGCTTTGGACGGGCCCGACACTGCAATTTGCAACGCGTTGCTGGCTTCGCGCCAGATTGGCGGCCCCAAGGCCAAGGCCACGAACGAACCCCAACCCGAGCGGCACTCGGACTGGAGGGGTCCACGCCCGAACTGTGGAGGCCCATGCCCGCTCGCGTCTTCAGCGGGTCCAGCGCCGAGTTGTGCCATGATCCAGCGGCTCCGCCATGACGCGTCTGGTATCTGAGCCGTCGCATCGCGCGTCGCTGGCCTCGGCGATGCTGTTGCTGAAACACCCCGCGCCGAAGTGGGCTCGCACTAGGGCCCATGCCTTCAGCGAAACCTAGCCCGAGCGCGGCAGCGGCGGGGGGGCTTCGCCTGACTTTGCTCGGACCCAGCAGCCAACGGCCTGAAGGGGCGCCATCCTTCGCAGGGCCAGGGCTGGGTGCCCTTGCCATGAGCTGGCGCTGCTCAGCGGCCAACGCCATGCGCGAAACCATCGCCGAACGTGTCCACTGTGTGAGGGCCACGCCCTGAATAGAGGCGGTACCCAACACCCAACACCCTTGACGACGCCAGCCCCAGAGGGGCCATGGCTGGCGGGGCTCGCCTCGAATTGCCGAAGCCTTTGGGGCAAACGCTTTGGTCGAATCCAGCCGCGCGCGGGGCCAACGTTGGGGTACCTCTCCCCCACTGGGGCTCTGCGTCGAGCGTTGTGGTTTGGCGCAGTCGGCGCGCTGGTGCAAGGCGCGCGCGTTTGCGTGGCGGGGTGGGGGGTTGCGGTGGGGCAAGCGGGGTTCGGCAGAGTGGGTTGGGGGGTGTGCGGGTGGGGGTAGTGGTCGTGGTGGGGTGGTGGTGGTGCGTGCGTGTGCGGTGGGGTGGGCGTGGTGGGGTGGGGTGTGAGTGGGGTGGGTGCGTGTGTGTGGGGGGGGGGGCCATGGTGCGTGCCGGCGTCAGGACCCTGCCGCGTGGCAAAGGCACCCGTGCATTGTCACAGCTGTGCGTGTGCGTTTACCGCACGGGCGCAGTGTTGCGACCGTGGTGCCCCGTGTTCGGGGTTCGCGCGTCAGCGCGTTGCGCGTGAACGCGCGTGGGTTAGGGTACACCAAACCGGTGGCGGTGGCGCAGCGCGCGCCGCCACTTGGGCAAGCGCCCCTCGTCTTCATGCCTCGTTCATCACAGTCGTAGTCAACATGGCCACCGTTATCAAATATCTAGCATTAACCGTTGCCTCCGCATGCGTTATCTACAGCACGCACGTAGTATCCCCACCGCCATTAAGCACGAACATCACTACACCACCTCCACATTGTTGCCCAGCGCGTCACCGCAATCAGGCCGCAGCCGTTCGGGTCTTGTGATTGTGGCGGCCACCAGGTTCTGTTTAGTGTTTTCGCTCGGCCACGTGCGTTTGCGGCATGGCCATTGATTGCTCTGTTGTCGGGACTTTGAACCTCGTGATAACTGACGCCAACAAACCGACGGGCTACGAGTGTAGGATAGATAACGTTGACATCAAGTGTTCAGTGGTGATCATGGGCCCGCAGTACCGCGACCCGCCCGCACCGACAGACCTCGCGTCAGCAGGCTCAGACCCTCCGCACTTGCCTGAAGAGCTTGCCAAAGAGGAGCGGGGCGCCAAAGATGTGGAAGCCATCCAGCCTTCTGTCCCCGCCAATATTCAGCCAATTTATCATTACGAGCATTTGGAGTACGAGTCGGGCTGGAGAGCTGACCAGGCGCACTATGATGCAGAGGACCTTGCGACAGGGGGTGCGCCTGAGGAAGAGAGCCGTGGGGCTCCGCACGTTTCATCGCAGTCTGTTGCCGAGAAGCAGTTTCAAGAAGGGTGTCTGGGTGCTGCGCCCATGATGCCCGAGGCGGGTTCGCCTGTGCCGTCTCGCGTTTGCGCCGAGTCCGCCGATGCGTTTGCAACAAAGGAGGTGGTAGGCACGCCACCTGCACCTTCGAGGCGGCCGCCTCACGGTGCCAAGCCATCTTCAGAGTGCTTCATCATTTCAGATAGCCCTCCGAAGCCGCCCACTGCAGGTGGCGACCTTCAGATGTCATCAGCCCTTTCTTCCAACGGTGCAGGCGGATCCACCGACGAGCATGCGCCTGCAAAGGTGGGTGGCTCGCGCGCGCCAGTGACACCCACTAAAGATAGTGGCAGTGGGCCGAATGCCTCTCCCTCCAAGCGCCGCTGGAGCCTGACGCCAGCCATGGGCGTGTCAGCCTCGGGCGGCCCTTGCGCTGATAGCAGCGCCAGTGTGGTACAGAAGCGCCGCGTTGGCCCTCTCGGGCCCGCGGCCGACGATTCGCAGGGGGCCAACTTAATGGCGCAGCTCGGGCAGGTACTTGCACCTGCGAGCCAAATAGTTCGAGAGTGTGTTTCGCAGAGCTTCTGAGTTTGCGTGATTCGCCAGTGCAGTTGCCGAAGCAGCGTTTCCTTGATGACGACGGGCGGGAATACGACGATGACTGTAGCGGCACTGACGCCGACGATGAGGATAGGAGGTGGGCGAGCTTAGTGAGCCGACGACGCACAGCAGCATCCACATGATATTTTAAGCCGCGTTGGCCTCGTGCTGGCATTTTTTGTCCAGCGCCCGAGAGGCGATCCAGTGTAAATCAGTTGATGGCCAGAGTGGCCCGATCAGTGTTGCGCCCGAGGTCGAAGGAGCTCCCCGTATCTCGATGAAGTCTGGGGCGGCATTGCCGCGTTGCGAGGGCTCGCAGCTGGAAGAGGTTGAATTCAATATGCCACCTCCGCAGTTGTAATATCCCTTCTTTCTTCGTGCAGTCCCCTTCATCGTGCACGCTGTGCTTCTCTCTATCCTTCGCCCTCCGCCGCCACTCCTCATGCCTCTCACCCTCGCCCTTCTCACTCCTTTCCCTCCCAACTCCTCCATGCCTCTTCCTTCTCCTTGTCGTCGGACCCCCTGTCGGCCGATCTACTGTCGCCCTTTGGTTTTTGACCAACCCCCGCCCGCTCCTGCATCCTTCGCCGTTTGGTCCGATCTGGCTTTCCACCGGCCCCACCGGCCCCTCAGGGGCTCTCATCGGCCCCTCAGGGGCCCGCTGCTGAATTTACAGTGAGCTTGATTTGGCAAAATCGGGTTTTCAGGTAGTCAGCGCATTGCTGCGACTGCCGTCGGCGTGTTCGAAGCGCCGTCCGTTTTGCCGTCCTGGATGTTCTTTGCCTCGGTTGGTCTTGGTCCGTCTTAGGTCGGAGGAGGGGCGCTCTGTCTTTGGTGTCGCCGTCAGCGCCGCCGACCTCGCTACTTGAGTCCAATGTGCCACAGGGCCTTCCATATGAAGACAGATGTGCGCGGGAGGCTGAGCAGAGGACGAGTGAGGAAAGGAGGGGATGAGAAGGAGGATGCGGAACGATTGTCCAGCGTCTTTGATAACGCATCTGCCAGATAGGGAGGAGTCTCAGTAGCGCGCCAGGCACTTCGAAACCCTATAGTGTCTTCAACGATGGTACACCGATGGTACTCTTGTGACGTCAGGGGTGGCCAACGTCAGATGCACCGTCGGTGTCCAGGGGGTCCCGCGGCTGCCTCGGGCAACCTCGGGGAGCCGTATAGATTCTTTGAGTGGGTGGTCGTTGCATTGGAGTTTGCATCGTGCGGCTCAGGGCGGTGCTTAGGTCACTGCCAAGAGCTCCTGGACAATAGCTTCGTCGTGTCTTTAGCCATTCTTGGAGGAGTCTTGGGTCATAACAGACGCACCAGAGGGTCATTTGGTATTGCTCGTGGGGTGTTCGGTCATATGTGAGATTACGCTTGTGGTTTCTAGAGCAGGGCCAGGAGCCCCTCTCGGCCATCGTTGGGCGCCTCTTGGGCTGCGACAAGGCTTTCGACGCTGAGGCGCAATGAAACCGCAATTGGCCATCTCGATGGAGGCGGCCAGACATCCATAGGTACGACATGCTAGGACGGATATTTGAAGCCACGCGTGCAATCAGTTTCTCCATGTACCCCTTCTGAGAATCGAGGGGGGGGGGGGGGCAATCTGCGCGTCCGCGTTTGCATTGCTCTGCATTGCCAGAGCAGCTCGGAGCAACTCTTGCGTTGGATTTGCTCGCACTCTTGGGGTGGGGTGTAGTTCGTTCCTCAGCGTTGCGTTGCATTCAGGTGGCGGTCCCACGTTTGCATTGCATGCGGCTGCTGAAGTATCACGTATCCCCCAAGCATAAGCATAGTCATGCTTGATGCTCTTTGCGTGCTAGCCGTTTTGGCTCGGAGGTGAATCTGCCTCGGGCAGCCGCCAAGTTTTTTGGTTTTCGCGGCCAGCCACAGCCGCCCAGGAGTGCTTCGACTATCTGGTCGGAGCGGCAGCCAGCGATGGGCAAGCGCGCTGCTGCGCAGCCGCGCGCGGCGAGAGCCCCCCGTCGCGGTGGTGGCGCCAGGGGCAGCGCCGCCGCTTAGGACAGCGCTTGGTGCCAGCGCTGCGAGGTGCCCGTGGACGTGGCGACGTCCAAGCGGGGTGGAACCTCCACAGCTCCGCGGCTAGCCTGCGACTGCTGCTGGCTGACCCACGAGCGGCACTTCAGCGGGGATGCCGCCTGGCCCGACATCGTCGAACGCTGCCGCGAGGAGCCAGAGTTCAACGGCGACTTCGAGGCTCGGGCCGCAGCAGACATGGATTTGGAGAGCCAGATCGCCGCCGCATCGGAACGTGGGAGCGTGGAGGTGCACACGTACTACGGCCAGGAGGTCAGCACCAGCATGGTGCAGCTCACGCCTAAGCAGTGGAGCACGCAGGTGGTCCCGCGCGGGGTGGTTGGCATGACCCCCGAGAGTTGCGACCAGTACCAATCTCGCGTGCCGTCATCTTGCCAGCCATGGGGTGAACACGACGGGAGTGATCGTTGCGGACCCAGAGCACCCGTACGTCAGCATCAAGAACTACACGAGGACGGAGGTGAAGGTGGCAATAGTCAAGTTGACGCCCCAACAGGCCGTGAAGACGGGTGCGGAGATGGAGTTTGTGAAGCGGGAGGTGACGAGGTTGCGCCAGAGTCAGGCGGTTGCCGTCAGAGGGTTCAGCAAGGTCCCAACGATCACAGAGTTGCAGCAGTTGGCTCACGCGAAGGCTTCTACATCTGGGATGCTTCCCAAGGCGCCGCCGTCGAAGCCACGCGGTCCTGGACACTCTGCCCCGCTTCCGATCGAGAACGGCCGCGTGGAGGACGAGTCGGAGACCGCCACCAGCTCTCTAGGCGCTAGCGGCCGCCTGAACGCTGCAGGTGATGCTGTGCCAACGGGAGCTCCCGTGGCCAAGAGTCCAGGCAGCCTTGCCAGCGGCGTGGGCCAGGGGGGGGGCTCCAGGCCAGCCTCCGCCAAGTCGGCGCCAGTCGCGTCGAGCTCGTCGGTGGTGCCCAGGGGCAGCGTCGCCTCCGCCTTGGACCGCAGTGGACAGCAAGTGCGGCGCTCCGAGTCAGGAGAGTTGCCAGATCTCCCTCGGGACAGGTCAAGGTCTCCAGTAGGGAGCGTTGCCTGCTCCGTGGTCGAGTCTGGCTCTGGCGGCAGGGGCAACAAGGCGGGGCTCCCTGGTTCTGCTGAGAAGGCGCGCTTCGACGGCTACAAGAACGACTTGGTGATCCACGAGATCTTGGATGGGAGCCTCAAGGGGGACCGATCCTACGGCCTGAAGAGGTTCAAACCGAAGTCGGCCAGCCTGGCCGTGATGGCAGCCAAGCTTCATACGAAGGTGGAGGCGGCGAGCGCCTTGTCCAGCAACCTCGACAGCATGGAGTGGCCCCAGGTGGTCCATCACTTGAAGGAGCCCACCACGCAGGATGTGGAGGCGTCGACTTTATTTCGCAAGGCTCTCCTGAAGAGGTTCGTGAAGCAGGCCTTGAACGAGGACGAGATGGTGATTGAGGCTTTGACGCCATGGACGCCCTTCCCCGATGAGTTCGACGTCACCGCGCCCAAAGCTGCGTCCATGAAGAACCTCAGCACGACTGAGATGATCGAGATGTTGCGTGAAATCATATTGGACGTCGTCGTGCTGCCCCAGTTGCTTGACGCCAAGAGGGTTCCACATCTGCAGCATTGTGGCAAGCTGCTCGCGGAGGCGTTCCACATCACGAGCGACTACCCTGGGGATCTGAGGGGCTTCAGCGAGCACGTCGTCGCGCTTGGCATGCTGCTGCACCACTTGCCGAACAATGATCCCATGAGCTTCTCAGAGTGTGGGCCTTTCATGCCGAAGATGATCGCGCTGCTGACTGGCGTGTGCGAAGATCCCGAGTGACACCCCTTGTCAGAAGTGATGGGCAATTCCGAGCCGTGGTCACACTACAAGGCGAGTTTCAGGCGCGCGGCCTCCACCGACATCCAGATTGCGCCCAAGATGAAGCAGATCGTCGACGACCTCGAGCAGGTAAGGTGCAACATGGACGGCATAGTGTTCATGCGTACGGTTGTCGGGGGGATCGAAGCTTGGAGAAAGACATGCCGCGGAGCATCGAAGTCGACCCACGTCACAGAGAGCACCTTGTTCAAGAGGATGGAGTATGTCGCCAAGGAAATCCTGATGCAGAGCGCGGACACAGTTGACAAGAAGGTCGGGACGGCGCTGCTGGAGGTGTTCGCCAACTTCGCACGCGTCAAGGGGTACGAGCAGGACACAGCTGACGATCCGTTTGATGGCATGCACAATGCCCTGGTCACCCACCTGGACCACTCTGCGAGGATGTGTGTCGAGAAGGGCTGGAAGGACCACGCCGAGAAGTACCTCAACGCGGATGCCCACGAGGAAGTGTTCCACCAGATCAAGCTGTTCTTGGCGGAGCACAGGAACGTTCACGTACCTGTGCCAGAGGACGGTTCTCTCATCATACGGGCCGCTTGCCACGTGATCCAGAACATCGGCCTCTTGACGGCTGACCTGAAGCTTGAGCAGGTGGGTTCTTGCGAAGCGATGGTCGCGGACGCGATCGACAAGCACGTCGTCGCCACTGAGATGATGTTCACAGTCGAGCCCTCGGACGCCACCAAGCTGGAGCTGGCAGCGCTCCAGGCAAGGCTGGCGGACGTCTACGCGGTCATCGGGGTTGCGAAGCACGCCAGGGAGTTCTACGAGACGACCGCCGCCAGCACGGTCGAGCTTCGCAAGTCCTGGGAGAAGCTCGACTCGGCGCTCGGGGCACTACCAGCCAAGGAGTCCGAGCAGTACGACGAGGTCTTGAGGACGAAGTTGCAGGCCATCAGCTTCGAGGAGTTCACGTCGACGACCTCGAACTGGAAAGAGATCGGCCTGCATCTGGCCAACGAGTACTCACAGAGCACGTTCGAGAGCTTGGTCGAGAAAGGCCAGCTGACGGCCCAGGGCCTCAAGAAGATCGCGGGCGGCATGCAGAATGGCTCCAACTACCTGGACGGCTACAGCGGCAGCCTCGAGAGCTTCGACGAGCTGATGGCTTGGATGAAAGCCACGTTGTTCAAGCAGCTGGGCCTGGCGACGAGGCTGAAGCAGTCGCACAAAGAGCTCCTCCACCAGCTGGCTGAGCTCGAGGTGGAGGTGGCCAGCCTCAAAGTCTCATCGGAGAAGTGGGCGCCCATCCGCGACGAATGGAAGTCGTTGCTGAAGATAGCGGATATCACGCTCACGGTGGCGTCGTTGGCCCAGCTGCTGAAGGATAAGACGAAGAACGACGGCGTCACCAAGGACGGCCTACAGCGTGCCATCGACAGCATGCAGGGCCGCGCGGTGGCGATCACCGACATCCCGCAGGCGCTGTGGGAGGCGGCCCAGCAGCGCCTGTCGCAGTAGGCGCGACGGCGCCCGCGGGCGGCCGCTTGAGGAGGAGGAAGAGGAGGAGCAAGAAGAGGAGAGGGAGAAGGGAGGAAGGAGGACAAGGAGGATGACGAGGAGGAGGAAGAGGAGAAGGCACGGCAGCACCAGGACGAGAGAAGACGGCGGCGGCTCTGCGGCAGGAAAACTTTTTTTCTGCCTCCCGTTGCTCTGCTCGCTCTCCTTACTTCCCGCTGCTTCTCCTGCGCGTCTCCTTTCCCTCCTTCCTCCCGTTCCTTCCCTCTCTCCCCCTGCCCGCTTCCCCCTTCCCCCCTCCTCCTCCTCTTCCTCCTCCCTCTCCTCCTCCTCCTCCTCCTTCTTGCCTGGCTCAGGCTACTTATCTGGCCCAGCCTCGGGTGCGATAGACGCCGATGCTGGTGTCGACCCCGCCTCGGGACCGAAAATCTTTGAAGGCCAACGCTGCCATGCCTGATTTTAGGCGCCTCGGCTGGGCGCGAAACGGCCCATGGCCATTCGTGAGGCCCCTTGGGGGGGGGCCATGGTGCACACCCTGGACACCTCAGTAAGGCCATCATAACCCCATGGCACATTTCCTCCATCAAATGTCATGTCAGACCCCACCAACCAATAGACTGCCACGGGAACTCTCAACTTTATGGCCTTATAGCCCTAGAGCCCTATAGCCCTGTAGCCCTACAGCTCTATAGCCCTATAGCCCTATAGCCCAATAGCCCTATAGCCCCATAGCCCTATAGCCCCAGAGACTCATAGCCCTAAAGCCGTGTAACCCCATAGCCCTGTAGCCCTGAAAAGATTCTCATGGGGGTTCTTCTCCGGTATCATATGGCGAGGTGAGGTTTGCCACCGATTTCCGCGGCCCGCTAGGGTGCCCATGTGCGCGGGTGCCTTATAGCCCCATAGCCCTATAGCCCTCCAGCCCCATAGCCCTATAGCCCCATAGTCCTATAGCCCTATAGCCTTGTAGCCCAATAGCCCTATAGCCCCATCTTATAGCTTTAGAGCCCTATAGCCCCATAGCCCCATAGCCCTATAGCCCTATAGCCCTGTAGCCCTGTAGCCCTATGGTCTTCTAGCGTTATAGCCAATGCCTTATAGCCCCATAGCCCTATAGCCCAATGGCCCTATAGCCTTATAGCCCTATACCCCTAGAGCCCTTTAGCCCTATCGCTATCGCATTAGAGCCCTACAGCCCTAGAGCCCTAGAGCCTTATGGTCCTATAGCCCTATAGCCCCATAGCTCTATAGACCTATAGCCCTATGGCCTTATAGCGCCATAGCCCTATGGACCTATAGCCCTATGGCCCTATACCCCTCTGGCCCCCTAGCCCTATAGCCCCATAGCCCTATAGCCCACTAGCCCCATTGCCCTATAGCTCTAAACAGACTGTGATTGGGTTGTTCTCCGTTATGATTTGGCTCTGTCTGATTTGGTTGATTGTTGTGTTTGGTTTGACTTATCGGTCTGGTTGGGTGGTTTCGTCTTGTTGGTTTGGTTGAGTTGTTTCGCCTTGTTGGTTCACGACCGTGGGATACGTATCACACGCAATAAAGTGGCATGTGCAAACGACACGGTTTCATGACCCATGGAAATGATCAGATTGCCAATGTGTGGCGGCTAGATTGTATTATGGAGTCGTACGTTTCGATTGCGGGTGAACAAACCACGTGACGATTGGTGTTGTTTGCGGTTGGAGTCGTGTGTTCGATTGCGTTTGAAGTCGTGCGTTTCGGTTGCATTGACGAGTTCAGTTGTAATGAAGGACAGATTGTGCTAAACCAGCGCGGGCGCCGGCAAGTGTTGGCAACTTTGCGACACCCACCAACACATGAAGTCATATCCGTTGCAAGTGTTCCGGATGGCGTGTATGTTGGTGTTTTTTTCGGCGTGTGGAGGGTTGTCGACGTGGGGGATTGGCGGGCCAATCGTGGCAGCGATGGCGTCCCATGTTGCTAGTGTCCAGCGGCGCCGATAGGATTGTAGACATGTGCCGACGGCAACCAATGCGCTCCCAGCGGGACTGAAACCACACTTATCCAGGCCGTGTCCAACAGTGTGTATTTGACGGCGCTATGATTGCAGCCTGGGCGCCGCCACGGGGCAATCTTGCAGACGCGTCCTATTTTCGGACCTCTGGCCCATCACACCTGCGACCCGTCATGCCGCAGTGGCTGGTCTCTGGACCTGCCTGGCGCGCCACGAAGTTGCTGCGCTTCGCGGGCAAGCTCAGGTGCCCCTTCCTTTCGATGCCTGTAGATTTGTTCGCATGGTTGTTTGTATGTTTGGCATGCATTGTCCGGTGGGTCTATGTGATATGTTTTCAGTGTGGTTGGTATGATTAGTTTGGTTAGTCGACTTGCTCTGGCTTGTTAATTGCAAATGTTGGGTCCGTCCGATCGGCTGATTTGTCGGTTCGATTTGGTTGGTCTGGCCCCCCTGTCCGAGTTGGCTTACGTTGTCTTTTGGTCAGTGTCTCGTTCTGTGGTTGATGTTTTTAGCCTGCCTGGTCTGGTTGGCACGGCTCGCATGTCCAGTCTGGTAAGTCTGTTCGGTGCGTTGGTTGGTCTGGTTGGTCTTTCGGTTTAATGGTCGCCTCGAATATGCCCAGTTTTCGCCCGAGGCGCGGCGCCGGATAGTGTGGTAGCGACGTGAGCGGCGTCTATGTCTCTTCTTTTTCGCCGCGTCGCATCAGTTTCTGCGTTGTGGTTTGATGGGCGATCTCGGAAATGTCACTGCGCACTCGAGACAGCGCTATTTTGGCAATGGCATTCGCGAGGAGGCTACATCGCGAGCGTTCGCCGCGGATCGGGCGGAGCTGCACCGACGGGTCACGGCTGCTCGAGCTGGAGCGGGCCAAAGCCCAGAGTCAGATGATGGAAGACGTTGGCTCGGCGAAGAGCGGGCCCGTCGCCGGGCCGCGTCGGGCCCCCCTTTTCCTGGCGCGCCGGCGAGATCTCCAGCGATTTCTTGCAAGTGGATGCTCAGTCATCCGCGCGCGCGCCGACGCTGCAATTGGACTGCGCCATCATGTTTTGGGGGCGCTCGCGCCGCATGGCGTAGCCCGCCGTGAGGTCCGCGCGCGCAGCTCAACGCGCATGCGCGGGCTGCCTAGCAGACCGCCGTGCACAGGAGACTCAAGGCTTTCGCGAAAGGGGCGCAGATGTGTTCGTGGCGCGCATGTCTCCGCGGTGACTTCGGGTGCCCATGGCCGCCGGGGAAGGCAGATCTGTGGCGGCTGTCCCCGATGGCGGGGGCGAGCAAGAACGGCGGCCGCATCGGGCGCGCGCGTCGCGCGCTCGTTTCGGGGCCCGATGCGCGGGCGCGACGCTGGGGCGCAGTCGAGTTTGGACGGCGCGCCGCTGTGCCGGGAACACCGGACTGTCGCGCGGGCCCCAGCTGCGCGCGGCCGCCCTGATCCGCGGAGCTCGCGCGGGCAACGTGCCGGGAAACAGCGGCGCGGGAAGGTGATTGTTTTCAATGCATTGTTTTGCCGATCGGAGCAGGCCCCCCCCCCCCCCTTCCCACCCCTCATCTGGAGTAGATCGTTGGTTGTTGCGGGCGCCAGTTTCGAGCGGGGGCATCTCTCCCCCGCAGGGCGCGCCGCTGCAAATCAGTCGCACCAAGCAGAGGTCCGGGGCCAGACCCCCCCCCCCCCTTCCGCCCAATATCGAGGCGCCAAGTGTCTAAACACAACGACGAATTAACAAGAGCGGGGCGCAGAGTTCCGCGGCCCTCGCCAGCGCGGCGCGCGCGGCTGTGCGCGATGGCAGGAGGATCTGTCCACGCCCCGGGCGCAGCGGCGCCGCGCGGGCGCGCGTTCGCGCCGCGGCATTCCCCCGGAGCAAGGCCGGAACTGTTTTTATTACAGGGGAATATTCAAAACATTCACACAATATTCAGGGAGCGATGTTTTGAGCATTATACACTTAGACGACCGCCCTGCGGGCGATAAGGAGTTCGGGGGGGTGGAGATCAAATGCCCGCCCTCGCTTGCCTCCAGCCTGTCACCTTGATATTATCTCTCTTTTTTGTTCATATGTTCCCCCCTCCTTTTTTTGATGTTTATCCCTTTTTGTTTTGTTATTTCTTTCTTTCTTCATTTTTTCTCTCTCTCTCTCTCTCTCTTTCTCTCTTCTCTCTCTCTCTCTCTCTCTCTCTCTCCCCCCTCCTTTCTCTCTCTCTATATATATATCTCTCTCTCTGTCCTTGTTTCCCTCTCTCTCTCTCTCTCCCTCTCCCTCTCTCTCCTTCTCTCTCTCTGTTTCTCTCTCTCTCTCTCTCTGTCTCTCTCTTTCTTTCTTTCTTTCTTTCTCTCTCTCTCTCTCTCTGTCTTTTGTTTTCTTCTTCTTATTTTCTCTCTCTCTCTCTCTCTCTCTCTCTCTCCCTCTCTCTCCCTCTCTCTCCCTTTTTGTGCTCTCTGACTCTCTCTCTCTCTATCTCTCTCTCCCTCTTTTTTTTCCTCTCTCTTTCTTTCTCTCTTTCTCTCTCTCTCTCTGTCTCTCTCCCTCTCTCTCTCTCTCTCCCTCTCTCTCTCTCTCTCTCTCTCTCTCTCTCCCCTTGTTCCTTTCTCTCTCTCTATATATATCGCTGAAGTTTGCCATGCCCTTTTTTTTTTCTCTCTCTCTCTCTCTGTCTCTGTCGCTCTCTGTCTCTCTATTTTTTTTTTTCTCTCTCTTTCTCTCTCTCATTCTCATTCTCTCTCTCTCTCTCGTTCTCTCTCTCTCTCTCTCGTTTGTTTGTTTCACTCTCTCTCTCTCTCTCTCTCTCCCTCTCGCTTTCTTTCTTTCTTTCTATCTCCCTCTTTTCTCTTTCCCTCTTTCTCTCTCTCCCTCTCTCTCCCTCTTCTCTTTCTCTCCCTCCCTCTCTCTCGCTCTCCCTCTGTTTCTTTTTTTCTCTCTCTCTCTCTCTCTCTCTCTCTTGCTTTCTCTCTCTCTCTCTCTCTTGTTTCTTTCTCTCTGTCTCTTTCTCTATC